ACTAATTTTTTAATACTTTAAAGTTAAGGAAATCATTTCATACTGTATCTAAACTTGTTTATAAATATATTCTTGAATTTTTAGATAATTTTTCTACTCAACTAACTGTTACAAAATTAATATTTAACTGCCATAAATTTTATTCAAGTGTTCTTCACTCAGAATACAATTTATTTGATAGCCTTTGAGAACTTTTAATTTGTTTAATTTACATGTTTGTCTCTCTCACAACCCCCTCTCTTAATTAAATGCCCTCCCAATCACTGTGTCAGGCTTTTCTACATTCGCCTTAATTGCATATTTAAAGCTGACATTTATTATAATTAAACTTACATCGCCCAGTGCAGACAGCATTCTCTGGTTGTCTGACTATTTTAGCATTCGTTCAGCTTTCGGTTTCAGTTGCTTGTGCTAATTTCGCCGGTTTACTCTAGTGTACAAGTATAGTGTGCCTTCAGCTTGATTAATAAGCTGCCATAAGGCGGCTATCGCAGAACAGCAGCCGGAGAACCGAGACCATTCATCTTCCAGACAAAGAAGTGGAAGCTAGTTGTCTTGGGGATCCCAGAACCCATCCTGCCTCTGCCAGTGGAGGTGCTGAAAACGAAATTCATTTGCTGGCACATGGCCTTGAGCCATGAATTATGTGCGCAATTACTCTTCGGTATGTCGTGATGGTACTTGTGCCCCAAGAACTGGAGTGGTTCTGGTTCTGGTTTGTTTTTTTGTTATTTTCTAATGTAAAGTAAAAGTGCAAGTTGCCAGTTGCGATTAGGGAATTGTGCCACTTGTTGGCTTCCTTCTAATGGCGCCCGTTGCTGGTCTTGCCTTGGTAGTTAATTACACCTTGTTTTGGGCCGTGTTGCAAGTCAGCGTGTTGCCGATTCTCTGGCAGATACAGATGCAGCATCGTATATATAAGTTTATAGTTGTGGTGCCTGCACCTCGGCACGTTGCAGCGTGTGAAATGAATGCCTGTTGTCAGAGCGTGGCGCATGTTCCTGATATCATCGAACAAGCCAACTAGCTAGCAACTTTGTCGCATCTCTTTTTCGCTTTCTGAAGATTCGAGGCCCTGCGATGATAGCCATCGGTTTTCAGCCTCTTGCCGGTTGACATGTGAAGCGTCTTCTTCTGAGTCATCATCACCTCGCAAGGCCGTTAAGAAATTAAGTCTGGGAGAAGAACTATAAGCTTGACTTTTACATAATTTAAAAGAAATCTAAAAGTTAAAAGGTTAAAAGCTTATATTTACAAATTTAATTTACTTACTCTATATTGCTTTAAATCTCTTACCTTAATTTAAATTTAAAAATAGACCAAAAACTTGCTATTTTCATGAGTTCATTCGACGATATTCAAAAGCAATTAGCATAAAATTGGCCACACTTAAAAGCCAAGCTATATTCACAGACACTTTCCGATTTGGACCGCGTCATCGCGCCCGACAAGTTCTTAACATAATTGTTAGCGCCTCAAACGGATTGACTGCCAAATTATGACCGAAAATTGGCTTACATCAAGTGGCCAAAGTGGCCTGGCCAAGCAGTTTCCCAGGCCTCAAGGCTGCCGTACGCGGAAATGGCCAGCGGTTCAATTAACACACCCAGAGCGAAACCTTTTCCCACCAAAAATAACAGTCGACGACTCATACTCATACGCTCAGCCACTGTTTTGATTTGGATTTTGATTTTAATTTTCGGTTTTTCGGGTTTTCATGTATTGAATTGGTAACGTATCTGCATGCCCGAGTGTTCGCGGGGCGTTAAAAAAGCTTTAAAATTGCACAACGTCTCCTGCATGCCAAAAAGAGTAGCAGCAATCTTGTGAAATTACAGTCTGAAGGTCTGAAGGCGACCTTTACTTTTGGTTTCTGGGTGTCGTTGACACTTCTGCTGCTGCTGCTGCTCCTACTGCTCTTGCTTTTGATTCAAGTTAATGATTTAGCTATAATTCAGGTTACGTCACAGCTGCTGCTGAATCATAGTTCCGTTCTGTGAAGGACTTTCCTTGATCGATCGATCGATCGTTTGGCAAAGGGCGGTCAACATGACGTATACTCGATCTGATAGAACAATTCGCTTATCAATCATACGCCACGTTGGCCGCCGTCAGCCCACACTATTCAGCTCCGTCACTTGAGACAGGGCCAGATCAAGAATTTGCCATTATTTTTAGCCACAACTCTTTATATATTTTTTTTCTTTGTGTGTCAGCACGAATTAACGATCGCGATTTAAATCGCACCAAGAAGCCAAAACAAACAACACGACCAACACTGTGTATTTGAGCCATGCGGAAATTGTTTGTACAACATGGCTAAAACAAAGGCGCCCCAAACAACATCTAGCCAAACAATTCATTATTACTATTATTGTTGTTAATATATTATTATTGTTATTTTAGCAGCCGCAAGATGAGCAGCCAAATAATTGAACATAAAACGCTAGTTAAACTCGGGTCAACTGGATACTGTGTAAAGTGTCAGAAACTAAAGCCAAGTCCCCCTGTTCGCCCAACCTTGATTTCAATTAGCAAATTTTCAAGTGGCTGCACTTGGCATTAAAGTGCCCCCCCTGAGAATTAGTTGTATTTCCTATATTTTTGTAACAATTTATACACAAATTTAAGGGCTTTTAATAAGTGATAATTTTTGAAGTTTAAATCTTAGTTGGAAGCATATATTTGCTGTTTTTTATGCCCTGTTTTCATAGGATACTTGGGATATTGGTATAAAAAAAAGGTTGCTCAACATTTCCTTATCAACATTCTCCTGGCAACATGTCTAGAAACATTTTCCTGTTAATTTTGAAATGTTAAGTTTATGTTGCTATATTTATACTCCATATTGAACTTGTTTTTTAATGATGTATTTAATGTTTACATATTTTTATTGCTAGTGTGGCGACCTTGTTACTAAATAATTTGTATTGCTTAAGGAAATTTAAAAATAAAGGTCCTGAAAATACCTAAAAAAACGCCTTTAAATATTATTTATATTACTATTTTTTAATATATTTTAATAAATAAGAATATTAGAAACCAAAGAGCCCTACTTCTTGTATATTCCCAAAATCTAGGGCACTTTTTTTTACGAGTGTGTTAATTTCTCAATTTGCCTTCCACTTGCTGCCGAAAAAAAGCAACAACCAAACTAAAAACAAAACAAAAATTTGCTTAGCCATTTTCTCCCAACAGTCGCCGTTTTTTTACTTTTGTTTTTTTTTTTTTTTTTTTTTTATTTTCCGTTTTTAATGTAGCAAGGTCGTTCGTTGGTCCGCAACGCCAAAGCAATTTGTAATGATTATTAAAACAGCGACCTGCTTGGCATGCTTCCCCTTCACCTGACCCAGCCCACAAGTGCCATTGTTTACTGTACCCGTGCGCCTGTACCTGTAGCTGTTGCCGTTTGGCGTTGGCTTTTAATTGAAATAGCAAAAAACAGTAACAAGTAACAAGGCAGCGGCTGAAATTATATTGGATTACAACATGGTCGGGTCGGTCGGTCAGCCGCCTCCTCGGTGGCAGCGAAATATATGGCATTCTTGGGCAATTATTGCCGCACAACGCAGCCTTTCGATGATTGAATAGCCATGAACATTGATTATGACAGCCGGACACTCGAGGAGTTCTATTTAAAGCCACAAGTCCAAGTTCCAAACTCAAAATTCCAGGGGTGTTAGCTCAGCACCAATTTGGCCGTCCGATAATTGACATGTGAAAGGGAAATCCATCACAGCTCGCGCGGATGAAACCGTTTCAAGTCCATTCTATGCTAAGTGTCTGCACTGCCACACCCCGTTTTTCCCAGTGATTCACTACCCCAAGATATTTTGAATTTTAAGCAAATAAATTGCATTTAATGCTGGCCAACCGAATAAGCCAAGCCAAACTGCCATAAACGAATAAAACTCGGACGACGCTCAGATTGAATTATGTCGCTGGCTTGGAGTTCATTTAAAAAACAAAAAACCAGAGCCAAATAAAGAAGCTTGCTGCCGAGGGAATTACCCAGGGGATCGGATAGATACAGATACATCCGCAACGGGAGCGTTGAGCCGTGCGAGCAAATCAAAAGTAATTCACACGCTTAAGTGAGAGAATAAATAAAAGAAATCCAAAATGTTAACTTGGGATAAGAGAGGGTGATAGCTAAGTTGTTTTGGAAAATATATATTAGGTTTTTGGAAGCTATATCTTTTGGTAAAAGTTTCTGTAGGAGAAGGAGAGGTTTCTAAAAACAGAAAATGCAAGTTCTTAAGGAATATTCTATGTTATTCAGTTTAGTATAAGCTGTTCAAGTATAATGTTTAGAGACTTCTTTAATTTTGTTATCAAAGTCAGAACTTTCAAGATAGATAACATATAAAATTCATATAAATATATACAAAATTTATAAAATATATAAAAATATATTAAAGTTTGCAGCTTCCAGGCTTCTTTTATTTTTTTATGAAAAATAATTATTCTACTTTAGGAAGCTTAAAATGTCTTTTATGTCTTTTATTTCTTTTGATTATAAATTCTATGTAAGAAACGCAAGTTTCTAACAGCCATATATTATATTTTTTAAAGAAGATACTATTATTAAATTGGTTTTAACCTGTATAAGATTTTCATTTGAATTCTTAATTGATTATAATATTAAAGCACAGCAAACTTCTTAAAAAAAAATCCCATAAAACCTCTATTAATGGCGAAGAAAATTATTTTTAAAAAATCCCTGCTCTTTTTTGCTTTTAAAATCATTTTCCCTGAAGAATCTTCGCTTAGAATCTTTGCAGAATTGCCCTGAACCTCCACGCTTGGCAGTCGTTGAGCGTCTGCGAGCGGTTTTTCGAGAGAAGCGGGACTTCGGCGTTCAGCGTTCGTGCTTCGACTCGCGTTCGTTTCGCTTCAAACCTTCGGCTCTACCACTTGGCGTTCGGATGGATGGCAAACTTTTTGGCCAACTTGCTGCGGGCCACACCGTTAGCCGAGCAGTCGAAACACGCAGCTTGAGGCGAGCGGTTCTTGCGCGCGCTTACACCGCCTAACTTCTTAACCAAATACAGCGAGCAGCTACTAACCCACGGCAGAGACTCAGTAGAAGTCGTAATCGCGACGCGAGCGCAGAGTTCTGAGAGTGTTGTGCAAATAGAAATTGTAAATTACGCAAATCACGCAATAACTTTTAAAATAAAACACAACAAAATCAAAACTATAAAGAAAACAAAAAGAATTAAAAACAAAAAGAATACTGAACTGTAAAACAGCAAATACTTAGCGCATAATTGAGGAGAAACCTGGCTGGTTGATTGATTGTGGGCGTTACGACGAGTCACACTTGGGAATAAATCCAGCATCGATCAGGGGGACTTACATTGGATACTTACGGATTGCTCTTGGAGACACCAGCACCCAGCACCCAGCAGAAGGTAAGTGGTTCCCCTTCATGACCTTGACATTTGGCGAAATTGATTTTGTCATTCGTTGCCGCTAATTGAAATGAATGCACGCTCGAGCAGAGAAGATCGTTTGATTGGCACTTAAATTGTGTTGTACAATCATCGCGCTGCAAAATTGTCCAAGACAAAATTTTAGCCAAGCAGCGTCGAGTTTTTAATTAGCATTCTGTGGCATCTTATAAATAAACATGGTTTTATAGTTCGCTGGGGCGTGTGTGTGTATGTTGTTGTGGATGTGCTAAACGCCAAAGGCCACTAAAACGCGCTGTCCATGAGTGTTAAATAAAAATAAAGCCAAAGCCGTGCTTAGTACTCCCCATACTGTACGTCGTGTGTGAGTGTGTGTATTTGCATGTAAATTACAAAATCAAGTTCGTTGCCTGAGTCTTTTGTTTGGCCTGCACAAAAGGTTCTTTCGGCCATTCGGAATAGAAACCCAGTTGCAGCAAATTATTACAGAGCCTTAACTATATGGAAAACTCTGTTCAACAACCTTCACTGGCCCTGGGCTGGTTTCAGTGCGAGTTGTAAAAAAAAAAAAATAAAAACGGGTTTTCCGAAATGCGTGCGCTTAATTTACACGCAGATTAGCATTTACATTAAGATAATTTCATATTTTTATTAACCCAAAAAATGTCAGAGCAGAGCTCAGCAGATCAGCTTGTGGTCGCCTTGGACAGAAATTTATGAGCGATGTAATCTCCAGTTCACCTGAAACATTCAATGCATACAAACTTCCCGAAAATAAAACAAGGAAGGCAGCAGCCAGGGATTCGCAATCGAATCATTGCCATCTCGGCTCAAGCTTCACGTCATGTGATTCAGACATCTATATATATATAAGTATGTGGTATCTTTGCTGAATCTTCCGGGGGTCTTTGGCCTATTCCCCGTTTTTCTTGGCAGCCTTTGTTATGGATTCGCCATTCCCCCGGCTGGAGTTCTATGTAAACAGCAAAAGACTTATTTGCATGCCAAATGAAAGCCTCCTAATTAGGACAGCAACAGATGGTTCTGTCTTGGCCCACATTCGAGGGTCTCTCTTTAACCAAAACAACTTGAGGCAGCGGCCTGGCCCTGAATTATGTCCACTGATCGCGGCTATTGATATTGATTGCCTTCTGGCTTAAATATTATATAGCATTTGTTAGAATTTTACACCCAATTATTCACGCAATTGTTAATTACGCATTTGATTGTCGGCTCAATTTCAATTTGAAGCCCAAATTAATGAACTCTAATTAAGCGAGGGGCGAAAATATATGTATGAGAAATAAAAAATATAAAAAAATACGAGCGAAGCGGCCTTTGTTGAAGTGCTTACGAGTCTTTTCCTGCTCTTTAATTGTATTTATATACACACACAGCATATATATCGGATGTGCATTGTAGTTGCCGCCTCTATTGATTGGCAGAAATCGGTTTGAAGAGTTTCCATTTCATTTTCGTTTCGTATGCCATGATGTAATTCGGGTCTATAAGTCCCTCTGTCTGCCATGAATCACACGGGACAAATGCCAACTGCCAATTATCAATTGCAGTGGCCTGTCAATGGAATTAGCATAGCCGATGACTAATTGAAGCACACGAAAAAAATAGATATGGTATATAAACAGAACATAAAACCCATAGTCAGTCAAATTTAATTAAGCGAAGAAGACAAGCCAAGTCATCTTCATTTGATTTGCGTTGTCTCCTCCAATTCTCGCACTATTATCTTTGGGAATAATTTCAAGAATCTCTGTGTGCGCGGCGCGCCACTTGTTAAGGCCTAAGAATAGATCCCAGCCAAGGCCCAAAACGTGCTTGGCCAAATAAAAACCGAATTTTTGCAAGTAATTTGAACATTAAAAACAATGTCGGGTAATAATAATCACTCAATAGCAGCAGTGCCAACAAAAGCGGAAGTCCAAAAGCCACACGAAAGTGCTGTGCAACATCGCGTCTCGCGCCTCTCGCCTCTTGGATTTGTATTTTGTGTCTTTTCGTTTTCGTTTTCTTTTATTATTGGGCCGCCTTCCTGGCACGAAATACTTTGGTGAGAATTGCAAATTCTCAGCCAATGCAATGGGAGAGAAATAAGTGAAAATATTATGAAAGCCGCCGCTGACGCTGTCGAAGCAAGTGAAAATCGGAATTTATAATTTTCGTGTGCCGATTTTTTTTTTTTCAAACCGCAAAAATAGTGCTCCAAGCAGCTGCCACTGCCACTGATGATGGTGCTGCTGCTGCTGCTGCTGCTACCACTGGTGATGCAATCAGCTTGACATGCACATCGAGTGACAGAGCAGACATTGCGCATACGCCGCATTGTGCCGAGTGCAAATCTCTCGCCCCACAAAATCTGAAAAAAAAGATGAAAGCCGAGCAGATCCCCAAGCCGCTCCAAAGCGTTGTGGGGAGTCGCTTGGCGTTCATCTCCAAACAAGAATTGGAGCAAGTGAACAGGCCAGCTCAGTCACACACAATGGAGAAGCCCCAATGCCCTAACTTTCCAGCTATAAATTAAACATGGAGATAGATAAAAACCCAGGCATTTAACTTATTAAAGCCATTCTATCTAGATGGTGGGTTTGAAAGAAACCTTTGACAGATGACTAAAGATACAATGATTACCATGAAAAATGGCAAATTTACATTCAGTTTATAATTAGTGAATATCAGATGAAAGTAGGAAATAGCGAATAAATCAAAGCAGAGCAGAGAATTCAGAGCTTATGAGATAGATTTTTATACTTTTTTTGATATGCTAACTAAACTTTATATTTTAAAATGTTAGATAATAAATAAAACTTATATAAACTTATAACTCTGTAGGTTCTTTCTAAGCCTTTTTTTCTAGCCAGGGAAACTAGTGATCTAAATTACAAATATACCCAACATTATTGAAACGATTTAGTATATAACCAAGATATACCCTGCTCGAAACGTATTATATTATATTTACAATATACTTGTTTTCCCGATGATTATGACACTCACACGTGCCCAGCGACTCTGGGGCGTCCAAGTCAGACTCTTCATCCATGAGTTCCTCACTTGGATTTTTCTTGCATGTTGCGTGCCCCCACCATATACTATATATATATGTATATATATATATATTTATTTTTTTCATCATCATCATCTCCTTCAGTAACAATATGCGATTTAATTTTCATTTTCTTGCCGCTGCCTCGGCTGCTGGTGTTTTTGTTTTCCGTTTTTTTGTCGCCTTGCTCACATGGAGACGAAATAAAGTGCCAACTCATAATAATGTAAGCCACGGAGATGCCAGGCGTTGTTTATGCTGGTAATGGTGTTTGTTGACTGACTTTTGTTGCGTTGTTACAAGCCAGTAACAAGTGCACAGCCGCCCGCGACATTGTGCAAACAATTCGTGCGGATTTCTTGTTTTGTTTTTGCATTTATTTTAATCATAATGCCATTAAGTCCCTCTAAGAGGCGGTGTCGCTTTAATATATTAAAAAAAAATAACAAAATAAAGTGTTTCAATTTTGATTGGGCTCTGAGTGCGGCGGCGGCGGCGGAACAATTAAAGAGTTAATACCTTATGGCCGTCATAATTTGGTGGCCTGGTATTAAATTGAAAAATATACATTTTATGGGCCGAAAGTAACAGCACAAATACTGCTCTCGATGAACGAGAAATAAAGCTCTCCCCGAAAAAAAATAAACCCGTTCCAGCCGGACATGGAGACATGTAAACGCATGGGGAAAATATGCGAACTCTACAGTTCAGTTCACTTTCAAGGTTGTCCCCAGGCGTCAAGAACTTGCAGAACCGAAACAGTAACGACAGCAGCAGCAGCTGAAAAAAAAAATGAAAATGAAAACGAAACTGGAAAGGCAAGCTGCAGTTTTCCGCTCTGTGGGTGTGGGTCTCTTTTGATTGTGACAAGTCACTCCACGCGCTCCCATTTGAAAGGCGCCCAAGTGCATGGCACAAGCCAATTGCGCAATTGCAGTGATTCATACAGTGGACGCCAATTAAGCGAGACCGAGTCCGCGACCAAGTGCTAAGCCGCTTAGCCAGCGGACAAAGGAGCTCGCTTGCTTCCTTCTGCGCAACGGCCTTGGGGGAACTGGTACCGCCGATCCGTCGCCGTTCTATAAACTGCGTACTCACGCACAGAACAGTTGCCGGAGTTGCTAAAAATATCCAAGCCAGCGACGACCTTGTGGGCTTACATAATTAATTGCAACCGGGTTTCACTGGGCTGTGGTATGCGGAAAATGTGCTAAAACGAAAGACTCAGGACACGAACTTGACACGAGAGCGAGGTAGAAGATGTTCGTGATGCACTCAAAGGGCAGCCGCCTTAACTTTAAATATTTATATAGCTAAACAAAAAATCAAACAAGCTCAAACAGATTAATAAATCTGACAAACAAGATAAATCATCATCATCGGTTGGCCATGTAAGAAGCTTTAATAATTATTAAGTGCAGTTTAAACTTTTCATAAGCAAAGGCCAGCTAGTTAATTAAATTTTGTATTCCCCTTTATATACTATATATATATGTTCAAGCTAGTGGGGATTCTTGTTGTTGTTGGCGAATGCGATCATCGCCAAAAAATCAGCATCACGTTCGGCATACAAAAAGATTTTATATACTTATTAGCCAACAGCAAAAGCACAAAAAAAAGGGGGGAATGGTGAAAAGAACGAAATGTTATGCGTATATATTATACAATATAAAACAGTCAGTCAAAAGAATACCAGAAAAAAATAAAAACCGGCATCGGTTGGCAGAGTTGGCAGTTGGCATTTCGACCCATTGACGTAGGAAACCCAAAACTTAATCATATCGCTCTAAAATAGAAGATGAAACAGGCAGAACTGAATGTTGTTGAATATTGTTGCTCTTGGGGTTTTGAGAAGAGGTCAAGTCGTGGCTGGGCAGTGATATATTTGAGTATCATTAACAGCATAACTTTGAGTCATGAATGAAAGTGTAGAATCCAAGCCATGTGTTGGCATTCTAATTAAGACGAATTCACTAGAATTGTAAAAAAGATCAAAGGGTGAAAAGAGATTGAACTGGGAGATATGAGAACATTTACCATACTTTTCAACACCCAATATGTTTTTGGGTCTCAGAATATTCATGTTTTTCTTCCTTCCTAGCTCCCAGACTTCTTTGGTCTAAAAAACTGTCAAATCTTGGGCCCCGTGGGCGTGTCTACATGCGGCTTACAGAATATTATTTGCCATAAATCTTAGGTTTTGCAAAGAGAAAACCAGTTATAATTTGAAAATTTCGCCGTGGCCAAAACGGATCTGGAGACACAGAAGTGCGTGACATTTATCAAGTTTTATGGCTGCTCTGTCCGTTAATTAAAGAACCAACGCCAACGCCAAAGCCAAGTTTAAACAAATAGAAAGCCTGGCTTGGCGGTGGCATCAAGGGAATACTTTTTTTTAAAGAATTCTAATCAGGAAAGTCATTAAACTGCGACTGCAGTTCTGGGTAATTTGGAAACTAATTTAAATTAGGGCGATGCAGGGCATGTCGTGCCCTTAATTTGATCACACGCTCAAATATGTCGCATTTTGTGTTGGGTGGTATGGGGTTTTTAGATGGCATTTAGATGGGAATAGCATTGGGAATGGTTATGGGAATGGGAAATCGTGGACTCTGTTGGAATTTAAGCAACCAGAAGACTCACTTTCATTGCCATCGTGAGTGTGTGACACACATTTATTGGTAAACCGCATTTGGCCCACAATTAATGCCAATCACGTGTGCTGGTGGTGGGGTACACCTGACTGCTACTACTACTGCTACTACTACTACTACTACTGGATTTTGTCACAAAACGTTGACAGGCTAGCTGGGATCGCTGACTTTGAAGAAAAACCCCGAATGGCCAATTGAAATGCCGGTCTGACCCGCCGATGATAAAATGCAAAATCAAGTGTGTGTTGTGTGTTCGACAGAGTGTTTAACACAAAACAATTGTCAAGGCATCGCCTCAATTAGAGGCGGTGACATTGGTGATTCCATCGATCAAAGGAGTAATGGTGGAGTAAGCTATACTCATAGCCCCTTACCCCCAGATCCGATTCCGTTTCCATTTCCATTTCGTGTGCAGAGTTCATTGGCTCGCAGATTGATTGGTCTGATTGCCTAATAATCTCCTGCTCCCAGTGCGTGGCTTTAATTCGGTCTGCCAGATCCAATCAGAGACATTCGCACCCGCTGGAGGAGACCCAACTTAATTGTCCATAACTAGAAGCGTTGCTCATAATTATTTATAATAATTTTCGGAAAATGCTCTCTTCTCCCCTTGCAGAGGAAACGAAACCGAGCAAACAAAATGATTTCTCGCCGCAAGATCATATCGCGTTCCCTGGACAATTTGGACGCCATCGGGCAAGACGAGCAGGAGGAAGATGTCTGGCACGATCGCGAGAAGCTCTTCAGGGTGAGTATTTACTCAGTTAATGTGACCAAAAATTGAGGCTAATGTCTTCCTCTGCCCGCAGGATCACATCAATGAGGTTCTGGCCAAGTGGGAGCAGATTGACGACGAGATCTGGGCCAAAATAATCGTCTTTGAGAAGAATCGACGCGTGGCCAAGGCCTATGCACGCTCCTCTGTGATAACCATAAATGGATCCAAAAATGGATTCGATGGAGTGCGGTAAGTTGGGTTTTTTGAGACTAAAAAGATAAGTTCTTTAATTTATTAAGATATTTATTTACCTCTATATCCACAGAATTGGTTTAAATGGCTTTGAGAACCCCATGCGCGATGCCGAAACAAAAGTCATCAAGAAATCCATTGGCGATGGCTTTAAGATCAAAATGGACGACATTGGCAATATATTCATCAAGCGGTATGGCAAGAGTAGCATCTATGTGAACAGCACGTCGCAGGGCAACGAGGAGACAGTCATCGGTGGCGACATCATTCAAATGCCGCAGATGTCCCTCACCTCGGGAACCTCCGCCAAACTGTTCGACATGAAAAAGTTCCAAACAAACATAAACCGGGAGTTTGCCCGCACATATCCAGAGCGAGGCAGGCTGGAGCGACAGTGCCTCTCAGCCGTTTCGCTGGTCAAGTCAAACAATAATCTAATCAACTCTCCGGTCTGGATACTCGTGGTCAATGTGGTGGCCATGGATATGCTGAGGAGTCGCCTTCAAACCATTCCCAAGTCTATGGATGCTTTGGGCATAAGAGTACCGCTGACGAACAGCAGCGAGGATCCCTATTCCACAATTGAGAGCCAGGTGGGATTGATTTATCCCACGCCCGCTGCCTCCGATGATTCGCAGAACTCACAAAACTCCCAGAACTCGAGCAACTCCAGCAAGGGGCGGCGCAGCATTTTCAGTGCCGCCTTCCTCAACGAGGGTCCCTATGTGCCCAAGGTGGGATTGAGTTTGGTCTTTGTTTATCATAATTTATTTAATATTTATTTTATTATTTTACAGCCTGACTACGAGGCTGGGGGATCGCTGACGCCCATCTACGCGGAGAAGAAGCGTCCTAAGAACAGCAGCAGCTCGCAGCAGCGGAAGAAGCAGGATGATCCCTACTACTGCGGCCTCCTGGCACGCATTCCCAACTTTATCAAGTCCTCGAAGCAGCCGTGCAACGGCGGTGCCAGCAGCAAGCCCAAGAAGGAGCCCAAGATCTCGAGGAAGATCTCGGCGCAGTACCAGCATCAGCAGTTCCTGCAGCCGGCGCAACCCATTCCCATTGCCACCTTCCACCACTCGTACTTCCCCTACAAGCTGTATCCGCCACAACATCGTCTCTCGCAGTCGCAAATGTCGCTCTGGGATGCACGTAGTCTGATCAGTGCACATGGTGGGTTTTCCTTGAAAATCAAGCATTATTTAAACAAATTATTAACATTCCCATTTAATTACAGAATGATCAATCCGGCTGACCCTAATTTATTCATCGTTTAGCATTAATTCTACGATTATTTAGTCAAAAGCCTACGATTAAGATATGGTCAGTGACGGAGAAGGAGGAGATGGATCAATGGATCGATGGAGTGCATTTCGCTCAGTTTTGTGATAAATGCAGCGAAGTGCAGCCATTTAGCGTACACCACTTAATACGCACTAACTCTAATTAACCGCAGTTAGCTTTAAGGCAAGCAGAGAGATTTAATGATTATGCAATTTGTAATGAGTAATTAAAATTTTGCCATAGTTTCTTAAATCGTTTAAGACTGAGAGAATGAATGTCCTAGAGCCCAAGGAGAGCACACGAGAGCGGAGGAGAGTCGAGAATTTTTGGGGGGCAGAGAATGTCATAAGCAAATTAATATTGCTACTTTAGGCGAGTTCAATTTATTGTTTTTCTTATTATTTTTTCCTGTACATACAATTCATATGTAAATAAGTTCGAATTAAATATGTAAACGACATTAGTATGCATTAAAAGAAAAGTTTTCAAATGTCAATATGAGTATTCTTTTATTTTGGGATAAATGGAACTATTTTACCTTCATTAAAGCTTCCGTTTTTGGTTTTTTATTCAAAATTAATTATTTCTTTAATAATTTTTATATTTTGAAAAGGTTACGAACTTTTCCAGAAGAGGCCGCCTAAGCTGACAACGCCATCTGTAGGTAAATCATGTAGTATGTTCAAGATCAGTGATATATCGATAGAAAACGATAGCCCATTTCAGAAGGCGCTTGAATACGAACTAATTTTTAATTCAGTAGTATCTTTTTTCATTATTAATAGATTTAATAAGATTATTTACAATAACTTTTAACATAAAATCCCTATTTTAAACACTAAGAGCGTCTTGTTTCAGCTTAGAACGCATTTCTGGGCTTATTAAAAACAGTGGACCGTGACCCGGCACTATAAAGTCACACAAATGTGCTATCTTGCTACGTTCCATGCGTTGTTTCTTCTCATCCTCGCTTCCTGCACCTATCCATATGCTTTCGTTATCCACGTCCTCGCGACGCTCGAAGAGATCCCCCGTGATGCCCACCGTGCCACCTAACTGGGAGTTTTTAACGATCACAGAAACGCAGCTGAGCGTGTGTCCTGACGTCCTTTGGACCACCACCTCGCCATTGGAGTCCAGTGCCAGCTGCTCGTCTTCTGCTTCGCTCCCAAAGTGATCCATGTAAAGGTCACGATGCGAGGCACACGCTCCAACCAGGTGCATTCGGGCCTCCTGGAACAGGTAATTACAACCGATGTGATCCGAGTGCCCGTGCGTGCAGACGACTGCATGGATGTCGCCAACGTCTAAGCCCTGATCGGACAGAAGGGAGCGCAGGAGCTCGCCATCCCAGGCTGTCATGGTGTCCACCACGATGTTGGTGCCATCCCGGCATCGGATCAGCGTGCAGGTGCAGTTCGCCCTCATGGCAGTACCGTCCTCCCGCGAGTAGCCAGTGTGAAGGACCACCACTTGGTTTTGAAGTCCGGAATCTTCGGAAGCCATTATTTACGAGTAATGTTTATAAATTTATGAAAAACTGTCAACATCGTGCTAAATAATATCGATTGTTATCGACACGCTGAAATATCGATGTAGTTATTGTCTATCGATCCTACACCCATCTCTATTTTTCTGTGCGTTTGGTTTTTGTGTTTTTATTGGCGCGTTTTTTACAAGGTTTTAGCAAGGCTTTCGGCCTCACAATTGTGCAATACAAAAACTGCGCGTGCTGATCGGCAGCTCCCACACACCATGGACAAGTTCCTGCAGCGCAATCCGACATGGAAGACAAAGACTTACGGGTCGATCGTGGCGAGCGCCGCCCAGAAGAAGCCACCGGTCGCTTCGACGCCGGCGTCACCGCAACGACGGCCGTTGCAAGACTCAAATGTGGCGGAATCGAGACGGCCGGGCCTGTCGCCCCATTGGCCTCCCACCAAATCTCAATCTCAAACTTCAGCAGGTTGGCTTCGCTTTACTTTTTAACAGTTGACTTGAACCTCAATTTTTAGTTTCGGATGCTTAGTTAACCCAAAATTTTTAGTCATATAAAAATATATAAAAAAAAAAAAAGAAAATATCCAACCGCAATGTGGGGAAGTGATGTAGACAAAGTTCATGAGTTTTATTCTCTTTGGATAGCCGACCTGCTGGCCAGGGCCGGCGAGAAGGACTCTGGACTCCATACGGCCGCCTCCAAGGCGATTGCTCAGTTCCGTTCCGAGTTGAAGGAAGATTCACAGACTATGTCCAGCGCAGGAACGGAAGTAAGAGCACCGAACCAGGAAGCAGAAGCAGGCGGAGCTCCAGCGCAGGGCAGCACCACGCCCACCAAACAGAACTCGAAATTAATGCGCCTGCAGCAAGATCTCAACAGTCCCAGCGCTGCGCTGCGACTGCGCGCCCTCCGGGCCTTGAAGTAAGCTAAATATACCAAAACCCCTTGCTCATAATTACATTGCTTTAAACTTCTCATAAAATCAAAAACTATAAAAATACAGCCTTTAACATATATTCTTTTTAATTTTACCAAATGTTTCTAAACTTTAAAACCGCTTCCCATCATTTTAGGAGCCCTACAAAGAGTGCCTATAACAACTTTGATGTGTCCCATACGGAGAAGAGTATAATTACCATGGAAGAGCGCAATCCCAAAGAGCCACCCACCCTGCCCGAGCTACTGAAAGATGTGGTTATATATGTAGAGGTGCGCACGGGCAATGATAATCGTTCTGAAGGTGTGAGAACCGTAATTGCCAAGATGGGAGCTCAGGTCAACGATCGCCTGAGGCGGTAAGTAAACCTTTACGATTGATAAAGCTAAATAGCTGACTTACGGCTTAAATTTATTTTTTTTTATAGCAACACTACCCATGTGGTCTTCAAAGATGGTCTACTATCAACTTACAAGAAGGCCATGGAGTGGCAGATACCAGTTGTGTCGATATTATGGATTGAGGCCTGCAAGGTGCAGCGGAAGCTCTGTGATCCCAGTCAGTTTCCCATCAGCAATATACACAAGTACGAGTATCCAGAGCTCTTTGGCAAGATACCGGTGAGTAATGACGGGGTAAACCTTCTAGCTGGTTATTATGCATATGTAAATGGGCTTTAACTTGGTATAAATAGAGGGGTTTTTTTTAACTACGTGATTTATAAACTCCTAACGAATGAAACTCAAAAAAATGCCTTCTAATTGAAACATTGCAATTAATAAATAATCGCCTGTATTAATAAAAAACCTTCTGTTAGTCTGAAATTATACATCCGAAACTCAATCACAAGCCAACACCAACCAACACGTTATCTGTATTCCAACGATGGTATCATTCCCGTGTACAAATTCATCAACTCCACTTGAGATATGCCTTGGAAATTGAATGTGTTCTTGACTAACACATTTTTTTTTCCAGACGGAAAAAAGAGTGAGAAAAGAAATATGAAAAGCCTTTAATGAGTGTAATCGTTGGCATTATCAATTTATGGCTCTGCCGGCACAGAAGCATTAACTCTACTCGAGATATGCCCCCCACTAATGGGTCATTGGTGGCTCAATTGTTTATTATTTTATTGGGCGCATAAACTTAAAGTTAAGCGTATGGAAATTTAACCACAGATAGCCGCCAAGAGGGTAGACTCTTATCGATTAGCCTTTCCTTATGATGATCACGATGGGTGCCGTGGGTGATGGACTCTGGCCCACGGCCACTTGTGAGCCAGAATGATTAGTTAATCCAGAAAATGGCGAGCACAGGGCCGCGGGCCGTCTGAAATTGCACGTATCTCAAACACAAAATACGCGCAATATTGGGAACTCTTTTCGTGTCGGACAGATTCTTATCATAGGCTGTGACAGCGAGTCAACTGGAGCGTTATCTAATTCAATTTGCTTGCGCGCGCTTATCAGGTATCGTAGGGCCTCGACGACGGCCAGGAAGTTGTACTGTCCGCGGAATGAGGAATGATAGTAGGCAAGACGAGTGATGCTCATTTGAATGCGCTTGGTATTTATTGCTTAAACATTAGACTGTTTAAAAAGAGACGACAACAAGCCACTGGACGCCGGTGACAACTTAAAACCTAATTCACATGCACGTTTGTTTACAATCTTTCCGAGAAGCAAGGCTGCTGCCTGCTCCTCTGGTCATTTACATAACTAGCTGGGAATACACACAGATGCACCGATGTCAAGCTTCTTGTCCTATAAAACTTACACTCTAGGTTAGATTAATTAGATTCTCGTGTTGGTGTGTGGGCTCCGGTTGATGCCGCTTCTGGTTCTGAGATTTGTACAATGCCCGCTTATATTTACAAGCCAGAAGTTTGCTTTAAGTACAATGGAATCCTAGAATTTACACTAGTTAGTGGTTTCTGAGTTCTGCGAGGCTGGGGCAAAATGTTATCGGTGGCTTCTCACGACAGCGCCACCTCCAGGCACATCATTATCAGGAAACCAGAGACCGTGCCCCATGTGGCAATCGTTCCATTGCCACTGGCATGCGCCTCCGGCAGAATGTCGTCCGATACGATGTATATCATGGCTCCGGCCGCAAAGGACAGGGCATAGGGCAGAATTAGGTTAGCAAAAGTCACGGCCACAGCGCCCAGAACTCCAAAAATAGGCTCCACCATACCAGATAGTTGTCCATACCACAGGGCCCGTCCCACACTGAATCCAGCGGCATGCAGGGGCAGGCTGACAGCCAGTCCCTCGGGGAAGTTCTGAATGCCAATGCCAATGGCCAGGTTGCGGGCGCTCTCGAATGTCGAGGAGTTTGTGGTGCCAATGGCTCCAAAGCTAACGCCCACAGCCAATCCCTCGGGTATATTGTGCACCGTAATGGCCACAACCAGAAGCATGATGCGCTTCCACTGAGACAGCGCCTCTGCGGCTCGCTGCTGCTCCTCGGGCGTGGTGTAGGTGCACTGCTCCATCTCGTTGATGCTGCCGCCCTTCTTGCGACGCCGCGACTCTCCACTGTGCTGCACGCTCAGGCAGTCCGAGAAGCTATCCAGGCTCTTGGAAGCCAGTCGGTCTGTGGCGCCATTGCGCTTGAGGTCATCAATGGCTATGTCCGCCTTGTCCTTGTTGGTCTGCGTCATCTGGATCATCATGTTGGTGCTGTTCAGGCCCAGATACGACATTAGCTTGTCGCATCCGTACACAAAGATGGATCCCAGCAGGAATCCTCCAGCCACGGGCAGGAAAGCATAGACTCCGTAGAGATGAGAGCTCTCCGCCATTTCAATGGCTGGCTTCAGCAGAGACCAGAAGGAGGCTGCAATCATCACGCCCGCTGCGAATCCCAGAGCGGCGTCCAGTGACCGCCGCTGGTTGCCACGGACGAAGATCACCAAAGCGGCGCCGGCGGCCGTCAGGCCCCAGGTGAGCAGGGTGCCCAGCAGGGCCTGGGTCACGGGTCCATAGCCGGGAATCATCTTTCAGCCTCTCGTGCTCGTCTCCGGCTGGTATCGTTTCCCAAAGACTAAAATTTCGCGTGAGCAAGTATCTTAATTGTTTACTCGTCGCTCCAACAGCAGATGCGCACTCAACCGAGGACGGGCAGGCGGCAGGGCGAAATGTGCCACGTTCTTGGGCACTGATTCCGGGTAAACAAACAGAAACAGCTTTCAGCGGAGCTCGATGTCGGTTTTGGTTTCTGTTTCTGTTTCTGTTTTGTTCTCTCGCCCTCAATGGGATTTCCGAGTGAAAACACTTGTTGCTTATCGCCGCCTCCGCGCTCCTTGCCTCTTGCGGAATGGAAAAAAGAGTTCTACGTGTAGATGGGAATATTTGGAAACGCGTAATACTGTTTCGGTTGCCCAAAAGGCCTAAGAGTTCTGGTGGAGCGCGGTGGAAAGTGATGAATGAGCCGCTGACTGAGCTGACGGCCCCACAAAAAGCTATTCTTATAGGGCCGCTGCCTTCGTGCCCCAGTTATCGATAGTTGTATCGCTACGGTGTATCGACTAGTCGATTTTAGAGATGGTAGCGCCAAACAATAAGTAACGAATCGTTCAGTTTGAATTTATCAAGCATTTCACTAATCAATTTAATTTAAACTAAACTATGCTTAATACGAATTATATTTATTGGTAATACCAAAACTATCGAACGCTGGTACCAGCTGGCAGCCATCTCAAACGTACACTCTCCCATAGATAACAACGTTTTTTATTTAAACAACGGGCAAGATATCACGTAGTTATAAACAAATAAAACAGTGTTTTCTAGTCAACATGACTGACAGAGTCGGGCAAAAAGTCGGCAGCATCTGCAGCAGCACAACCAACAATAACACCAAAGGGCATGAGCTGCACACCATTAATTAACACGCTCTGGCTGCTCCGGGTTACTAAATCTTAAACTAACCATTTGTTGCAGCGCGTTCGTTGTATGCAAACGGACTATGAGCAGAAGAACTGGGTACCCAAGCGGCAGGTAACGCCCAAATCCTCAAAGGACACGGAGCCAGGATCGGGCAATAAAAGAACTCAGCTGGGAACACCAACCTCAACACCAAAGGTGAGTATTTTTAACTACAGCTTTATTCTATTAGTTTTCTTAATTTTTGTATAAAGTTTTTTATTTTTAATCATTTTTGTGTTATCTTTTTATATATATATATATTTTTTTTAATCTTTAATTTATATAAAATAAAATTTAAATAAATATAGATAATTATGACATATAAAATATATTTTTAAAAGTAATAATAGTCCAAACCCAAATGTTTTTTCTGTAAAAAAAACGTTTTGTATGCATTAATAAGATATCAATTTTGATATCTTTTTCAAGCCTTTTCTTATATATTTTATTGTAAGCTCTCCAACTAAATCCCTTATTCCTTGCAGAATGACATCAGTCGCTTTTTCCGTGCTCTCAACCACAAGAAAACCGTCGATGATGATGCTACAGAGTCGCCAGCTACTAAACTACTCAACAGGTGAGTAAATATTCCCCTAGCTACTCATAAGATATAACAACATACGTTTATTTTTAACAGAATCAGCAATGGCTCCTATACTCCTTTGCCGGCACTGGCTACTGGCAAGCAAAAGACCCGCAATGGCAGTGGCGATGCTGTGGCCGCAATCCAGCCGCAAGCTCAAAGAAGCCTTCAATTTACAGAGAACCCAAACAGCAATACACCACAGACTTCAAGCACTTCGAGACCACCACGAAGGAGTACAGTGGAACCAACTCCGGTTACGACGACGCCGCCAGTGCGAACCAGTCGCCGCCGCAGCTGTGCAGCAGATATTGGCAGCAAGCAGCCCACGACGGAACCCCGAATGACTCGACGCAGGAGCTCGCTCTTTATAAACTCTGTGACTGAAGAAGCTGATCCACCGCCAACACCAGTCTTGGAGCCCCGAATGACTCGCCGGCGGAGCTCCTTGCTTGTAGCTTCGAAACCGCAAGAGGATTCAGCCCCAAAACAAATCATCGAAACCATTTGCGAGGAGCTGGCTCCCACGGAAGGCGACATGAACTCAATTGTGATGGAGGAGACCATTAAGGCGGCCCAAAAAACTAATTGCGTGGAGCAGTCAATAGAGATAAGTGCGGTGCAGGCTGAGGTTTCCCACATAGCCGACAGACGAGGAACCCTTTACGTCTCGGAAGCAATGGATATAACAGTCCCAAAGCGCCGCAGTGTAGCCACCTCCTGCACCATGCTAAGAGATGACATGTACGGAGGTAGTCCCTCGCTGAACAATGAAAACTCCACCATGGAGGAACCCCTGACGCCGATATTTAGTTCAACCCGTTTGCCGGGCGCAAAGTCCACTGGAAATCGCCGGCGGACTCTCTTCAACTTGGACATGGATGTGGTAAATGAGAATATCGAGCGGATGAACGAATCACATCGCAGATCCCTTGCTCTGGCCAATGAAGCCGAGCTGGGCGAGTGTCATGTGATTCCTAGTGTCGAGCAAAAGCAAGTGCCGGAGGAGACGCCATCGACAGAACCCAAAAGACGACGCCTTTTTAATCCCAACGACGAGGTGGTCATTTCACCGCCAAAGAGCTCCAGGAAGAGGGCAAGCTTCTCTGGATCGACGGGATCAGTGCAGAAGCGTCGTCGAACGCTGGCTGTTGTTCCAAGCACTACAGAGACATCATCGGAAACACCACCTGCTCCTGCCACGAAGAGAGCCTTGCCAGAAGAGACGGAGGAAACGAGTGACAATTTTGTCACACCCGAGCCCTCAGTGGATACAGTTCCCGGTGGAGAAGAGATTGCTACACCCACCCCAGATGCAGCCCCGGCAAAGCCAAGCAAGCCCCGTTCACGAATACGCACTTTGGTGCACACCAACATGCATCAGGAGCAGATCCTGGTCATCCACAAGGTTGGTAGCACGGCGCAGTAACCACGTTCACCACCATCACCCACTGTAGCTGTCGTAGCCTCCAAGCCTAGTTCTAGATTAGTTATTAAACCGTTTTAGTTTTCAAATTTGCATAGTTGCGACCCCATATTAATTATTGATTAAGCATAAACAACACTCGGTAGATTGGTAGAAGCAGTTCCTCGTCTCCTTCTGTAAAGCCCCCACACGGCACAAAAACGAATAAACTTATTGGCGGCCATGAAACCTAATCGAAACCGCCTTCAATCAATCCCCAAATCCCAGGCCCTGCGCAGGTTGCGGGGAATGCGGCTGGATCCCACCGTTACCCAGCGCACCACCCACCTGGTTAGCCTGGAGCCGCGCCGTACCCTGAACCTTCTGCGTGGCCTGATGCGCGGTGTCTGGATTGTTAGCTACCAGTGGGTGTTGGCATCGATGCGGGCCGGCAAATGGGTCAACGAGGAGCCCTACGAATTGACTAGGTTCTCGCGCGCCATCGAGGTGAGTAGTGGTGTTCTCTCGTTTCCTATAAACCAGAACCCTCATCATCCTCCTTTATTTTTTCATCCAGATCTGTCGCACCGAGCGGCAGGCCTTTGGCGTCCACTACCAGTGCGAGTTGTTCCGCTTCATGGAAACCTTCTATGTGTCATCTCTGTGCCGGCCTATTCAGTTCAACAACATGAAGGAACTGCTCCTGCTTGGCGGTGCCAAGCTGACGGAAAATCGCTTCAAGGCCAAGTACGTCATCGGGGACAAGCGTCGGGTTGAGGACGAACGCCTCTATCTGTCGCCTTATTGGGTGCTGGATAGCATTACCAACATGCAAATCCAACGATTCGGAAAATATCTGATGAAGAGCGCCATCGTCACGCCGGAGGGCATCCAGTACGAGTGTGCTCGGGATCGGGAGATGGAGCTGGCAGAAAGGTCTCGCAACCACGACTTTATTGATCCACCTTTGGTAATGGATAAATAGATGGATTTTTTTTGTGTTTAAAATTGCAACTTTTAGCGCAAGAAGCAAGCCCTCTGTTCGATTTAAAAATGTTTATATTTTTCTGTTTAAAATTATGTAAATATATTTGATTTATATCATAAATAAGTCTAATTTGATTAGTTGTATGTATACTGCTATAACTCAATTTATGTATTACTTTTCAAGCCATTTTTAATTAGTTTATGAGCACAAATATATAGATGATTTTATGGAACCCAGTAGCGTTATATATTTAATATATTTCTAGTTGTGTACACCTTTAAGTAGTTGCTATTCGAAGCTAATGATTTAAAAAAGGATTTTGCAATAAAAAAACGTAGAATATTAAAAAAACACTTTGAAATATTTTATAATATGTAATAAGGTAGGCAGATTTATGAACCTTATAAAAACTACCTCAGAACAGCTTTCCGAATGGAAATTAAAACTTTTTCAACTTGGTTAAGGCATTTTTTAACTTTGAATAATCAAAAAAAGTATCATATATAAACATAGTAATTATATTGACTTAAAGAACACTCATTTAAATGTTCTTAACGGCATAAGAAACTCAAAAAGCAAGTGATTGCCCAAACTCGTATACTCCGATTAGACATTAAAACTAAACTTTTAATATAATCAAAATATTTAATATTTTATAATAAATTGTATATTTTTCTTTTCCTTGTTCAAATGCAACTTAAATCCTAAACCCAATCCCCTAAATCAAACACATTCTCGAAATGCCTTCTCAGTTGCAAAAGATCGCTTTATTCAGACGATTCGAGGTATTTGTTGTCAGTTTTCAAAGGTTGTACTCTTCAACTTGCTCTCTTTGTACTTTGTGGCATCGCGGCGACAAGGTGCGTCTCAGTGGGCTAAATGCAGTTGGGACTTGGACTTGGACTGGAACGCGATGAAGTGATGAGAGTTCAAGCGCTGAAAATCAAAAAGGCAAACAACCAAGAATGGTGCTTAAATGGTTTTTGGAACAAACACAAGAAATACAAAAATAGGGGTTTTATTTTTTTTGTAAATAAAGTTATCGCATCTATTCTGGTTCTTTTTCTCGTGTACAAAGTAGTGTGTGTGCAAAATAGGGTAAGATAAATGATACATATCAAAATTAAAAGGTTAATTTAAACGATATAATAAATGCTAGAAAGGATATCTAAATATGATACCATTCTCATGATACCATATGTAGTAAACTAAAGATCGACGGGGGAGATGGAGGAGGAGTGTTCGTGTTTCTCAGTGTGCACTCATTCCGGGGTATCCACCTATCCACCGCCTTATTAGGCGGCCTCGACTGCATTTAACATTCGTATCCGACGAAACTCCTTTCGATGGAAGAAATTAAACTTTTGTTTTTGCTGGAACATCATCTTATCGGTCATCTTGCGCAGAACAGGTGTTGTGGTTGCTGCTGATGTTTTTGTTGGACTACTATTGTGCTGGCTGCTGTTGCTGCTATTTTTGAGTGGTGGTTGCTGCATTAGGATGTTGATTACTTGCTTGCTGCTGCTGTCGCTGCTGCGCATTGTGGCTGAGTTGAAGCAAACTTGCTACTTCTTGCCCTTGGTGGCCTTCTCGGCGGCCTTGGTGACCTTGCCACCGGAAGCGTCCTTGAAGTTGACAGACTTGATGACACCGACAGCAACGGTCTGCCTCATGTCACGCACAGCGAAACGTCCCAGAGGGGGGAACTCCTGGAAGGACTCCACGCACAGAGGCTTGGAGGGCACCAGGTTGACGATGGCAGCATCGCCAGACTTGATGAACTTGGGGTTCTCCTCGGTGGTCTTGCCGGAACGACGGTCGACCTTCTCCTTGATCTCAGCGAACTTGCAAGCAATGTGAGCGGTGTGGCAATCCAGCACGGGGGTGTAGCCGTTGGCAATCTGGCCAGGGTGGTTCAGCACGATGACCTGGGCGGTGAAATCGGCGGCTCCCTTGGGGGGGCTGGCCTTGGAGTCACCAGCGACGTAGCCACGACGCAGCTCCTTGACGGACACGTTCTTGACGTTGAAGCCAACGTTGTCTCCGGGAACGGCCTCGGTGAGGGCTTCGTGGTGCATCTCCACGGACTTAACCTCAGTGGTGATGTTGGCCGGGGCGAAGACAACAACGGTACCGGGCTTCAGCACACCAGTCTCCACACGACCGACGGGTACTGTTCCAATACCGCCAATTTTGTACACATCCTGAAGGGGCAGACGCAGGGCCTTGTCGGTGGGACGGGCAGGGGGCAGGATAGCGTCGAGGGCATCGATCAGGGTCTTGCCATCGGCATTACCCTCCTTGCGCTCCACCTTCCATCCCTTGAACCAGTTCATGTTGGTAGAGGGTTCCAACATGTTGTCGCCGTGCCAGCCGGAGATGGGCACGAAGGCGACGGCGGCGGGGTTGTAGCCGATCTTCTTGATGTACGACGACACCTCCTTCTTGATTTCCTCGTAACGGGCCTCGCTGTACGGGGGCTCGGACGAATCCATCTTGTTCACGCCGACAATCAGCTGCTTCACACCCAGGGTGAAGGCGAGCAGGGCGTGCTCGCGGGTCTGACCGTTCTTGGAGATGCCAGCCTCGAACTCGCCGGTACCGGCGGCAACGATCAGCACAGCACAATCGGCCTGGGAGGTACCAGTGATCATGTTCTTGATGAAATCTCTGTGGCCGGGGGCATCGATGATGGTCACGTAGTACTTGGCCGTCTCGAACTTCCACAGGGCGATATCGATGGTGATACCACGCTCACGCTCGGCCTTCAACTTATCCAAAACCCATGCGTACTTGAAGGAGCCCTTGCCCATCTCCTGAGCCTCCTTCTCGAACTTCTCGATGGTACGCTTGTCGATACCACCGCACTTGTAGATCAAGTGGCCGGTGGTGGTCGACTTGCCGGAATCGACGTGTCCGATGACGACAATGTTAATGTGAATCTTTTCCTTGCCCATGTTGGATTACACGATGGCTGCACAGGTGTGTGTTCGTTTCGTTTCGATTGGGGTGTATTGGTTGGTATAGGTGTGTAGGTTGGGCAGCGTGCGAGAGAGGGGGAGAGAACAAAGGGGTAAAACAATTCGTTAGCATTCGGTTGGGGTAACATCGCATTATTAATTACTATCAGTTAGCTGGAATACAACTTTTTATTGCTTTGCGCATCTATATTCGTACTTTCGACTTTTGTTTGCGTGCACTCAACCTAACCTCAAACCCTGCCTCACCGCACAAAACGTGTTTTCGTTCGTCGCTGTGTCGGCGGTTTGAGGTTAGGTTGAGAACTGCCGCATGTGTTTGTATGGTGGTGGAAAAGAGAGGGGAACAACTAATTGTTGGACCATGGCAACTAAATACAAAAAAAAACGTGCAAAAAAAAATATTAATTTTTATGAAAACTTGATTTTTTCAGAGATTTTGGTATTTGTGCTGTCGTCAAAATTCTTCAGTAGCAGAACTGTAAAATCATCATCATGGAAAATCAAGAATTCAAATAAATTGTCGCAAGGAAAATTCCAGCAATTTCTATAATCTCTTTTTCGCTAATTCATGTGCATATCGGCGCGTAGTTGTGTGTGTCTGCGTGTATGACGCTGTTGCCGGCCGGAGGGAGAAAGATAGAGAGCGACCAAAATGGCGGAGACCTATAGAAATGTGAGTGCATGTGTGTGTGTGTGTGTGAACGATCTCGCCGCGGTGGCACAATTGGGAATGAGAGAACAAGATTCCATCAAGAATGAAAACTGCAGTGGGTAGCCTTTTTGGCCAATCTAATTAGGAAATATGAAAAAATTAGCAAAGAATGTGTGAATGTAATTTCACAAGTCATGGCAATAGGCAGAGTCAGCCCGCAAGAAGCACATTTTCGCGTGTTGCTAGGAAAGATTTTTCGCCCACTTGAGTCACACCACTGCTACGGGTCGCCATTTTGAAATTCTACGCCACATACAGATGGAAATTGGAAATTTATATGCAAGTGCAAGACAAAACCACGTTTTTCAAACGGCCGCAAGGTGACTGAAAACCTCTCCAGACGTTCCCATTCACGTGTTAATTGGCACAACTGGTGGATGACCCCTGCCTGGCATGGCATGGCGTGGGCGTGGCAAATTAATTACACTAATTGCACCATATTGCGGTGCGAAAATGCGGCTCAGCAAGCCGGAAAATTACTGACAAACTGCGGGCTGGTAAAATAAAAAGCCCGAGACTTAATATTTCGCATGTGCAGACTGCCACGTGTTTGCTTTTCGCATCTGCTGCATGGCCACCGCGGCACCTTTCACTTTGAGGCCGCGTTGGAGGTTATCTGCCGGAGGCACACACACACAAAAACCACGGCGAAATATGCACCGATTTAGCGTCCAAACTGCATTCTAGTTGTTAATTGTTTGCTGGCTGCACTTTGCTGCACCGATTCACTATTAATCTACTTGTATTTTCACCACTTGCAGAAACTTACTCTCGATAAGTTGAATGAGAAATCACGAACTCTATGCGGCGACGATTTCGAACAAAGTGAACGAGAAAACGGAAAGGCCGAACGCAGGAAGTCTCGGTGGCGGAGCTGTCAAAGTAGCAGTGTTGCCAACTCTTCAGGGCTTGAAAAAGCTAAACCCAACTTCGAAAAAAGCTAGAAATAGCCAGAAAATTTTGATGATAGCTAAAAAATTACGCTAGGGGAAAGAAGACAATTTTTTTTGTATTAAGCCTAGTACTCTGACGAGAAAAACCCGCTGTCTAAATTAGACAGCGCACTATGGTCCAGAATCCGTTTTTTTTGGCATAAAGTCGATTTTTTTATGTTAATATATCGTTGTTTTCTTATTTTAATCTTAAAGTAAATTCATCATACGTTATAAAAATGTTAACTAAAAGCTTTAAATGTGCCACCAAAGCCTATTGAGAGCTTTTAAAAATGCGATTGCGATCAGCTCATTTCCGAATAGAAATTCGCGCCAAAATATTTAGTTCCTTTATGTTGTGTCAGACGTGTTATTTTGGTTCAAAAAAATCAACTAAAATATGGAAAATAATCTTCAAGGTATGCACTATTTAATGTATATTGTAATTTTTAGTGTAGTTCTACGTATTTAGTGTTGTGTAATGTCAAATTTATGTGTATGTTTTTAGAAAACTATCATGCGTTCTCCATGTTTCGTGGAGTATAACTAATAAGCTTCTCCATGCTGACAGCAACTAATTGGTCCAGATTGTACTCCTGGATGTTGTCTTTAACCACAAACAAAAAACTCATCCCCGTTCGTCCCCCTTTTCTAAATTTTTGGTAATATACATAGTTTATTCACAGCGAACTTTTTAAATTATGGAGCAGCAACAATCGAAAAATTCAATCTGTATCGAAGTGACTATGCACCAAAATTAATAAAGACACTGTGAAATCCAAGAAAATGAAGGAAATAGATTAAAAATGCAGTAATTTTTATAGTGATATTCATAAATATCTTCCCAAATGTAAATAAGTTCTTGAACGGTTAATTTCTTCCAATAATTCTAATTATAAATTCGGAAAAATATCTCTCTTTTTTTTAACAACTTTTTCATTATATATGCGTTAATTATGTATATAATAAATGGTAATTATGTACATATATAAAAATTATAAATTAAATATCAATCAGTTTGCAAGGGCGGCAAGAGTGGGCGTGGTCGTACTGGCCCAATTTTTTGTACACAAGTTGTTAATGCCACAACAATAAAATCTGCGAAGTTTAAACCCTGTAGCTCCATTTTTCGACTTTATGCCAAAAAAAACGGATTCTGGACCATAGTGCAGCGGAATCGCTGTTTATTTCGCTACCGAGCTAGTGTGACCAAAAAAATTAAGGAAAATCCTGTTTAAGGATTTTCTTTGGTCACACTGGACAGCTGTTTGTAAACAAATATTCAAAAAAAATATTAAAAATATTAATAAATATTGCATTAAAATGTCCTTTGTGGGTTAAATTCCATATTATGGGCTTCCCCTTGACAGCCCCTATCAATTCCACCTTTTTCCTTCAACTTTCCCTCCATTAGGGGTGTCTAAATAAATCAAATGAATTATTTAGACAGCGCGATATCAGCTGTTTACTATCTTGATCTGGCAACGCCATTCAATTTTCGCAGGCTTCATTTTCGTCGTCAGAGTACCGAAAAAAACGACGTGTCTAAAAGTTCTTCTTCTTTTTTTTCGACACCGTTTTTTTTATATGGAGTTTGGCCGCTGTCTAAATTTATACAGCGGTTTTTTCTCGTCAGAGTACTAGGCTTTAATTGTTGAAGAATTTTTGAAAAATGGTCAAGTTCCTGAATTTATGTATGTTTGTTTTTTTTTGCCACTTTTTTTTAATTTGTCAAATTTTTTTTTTTTTTTTTCAAAATATAGTAAAAATTGTTTTTTCAAACATTTTTGTTATAAAATTTTGTTAACATTTTGTCAATTTTTTTTCAAAATTTTTCTTAATTTTTTATTTATAATTCTGTCCATTTTTTTTTCAAAGTTTTTTTAACATATTTATTTCCAAATTTTGTCAAAAATTTGTTTCTTCAAAATTTTTTTTTTAATTTTGTCAACATTTTTTTTGTTCAAAATTTTGTAAAAATCGACTAGAAAAATGTAATTCTCTTTTGGCATATCGATGTTTTCCTTGCCATTCAAATGGAAAATAATATTGGTAAATGGTAAAGCCTAGTACTCTGACGAGAAAAAACCGCTGTATAAATTAGACAGCGGAATCGCTGTTTATTTCGCTACCGAGCTAGCGTGACCAAAAAAATTAAGGAAATTCCATGAAAATATACTTTTTATGGCGTTTAAGCATTTTCCTTGGTCACACTGGACAGCTGTTTGTAAATAAATATTCAAAAAAAATGTTAAAAATATTAATAAATATGGCATTAAAATGTCCTTTGTGGGTTAAATTCCATATTATGGGCTTCCCCTTGACAGCCCCTATCAATGCCACCTTTTTCCTTCAACTTTCCCTCCATTAGGGGTGTCTAAATAAATCAAATGAATTATTTAGACAGCGCGATATCAGCTGTTTACTATCTTGATCTGGCAACGCCATTCAATTTTCGCAGGCTTCATTTTCGTCGTCAGAGTACCGAAAAAAACGACGTGTCTAAAAGTTCTTCTTCTTTTTTTTCGACACCGTTTTTTTATATGGAGTTTGGCCGCTGTCTAAATTTATACAGCGGATTTTTCTCGTCAGAGTACTAGGCTTAAATTGAAATAATAATACATGAAACATAATAATACAAAAAGCTAAAATTACGCTAATTTCGCTTGGAAAATAGCTATAATTCCCGCTAGCCGCTAGTTCACAAAATATCCCACATTTAGGTTTTGAAACACGCCAGATATAGTGGGAAAATAGCTAAATTGGCAACGCTGCAAAGTAGCGGTGGCACTATCGCCAAGTAAATATCGATATATCGATTGCTATATAATTTACAAAAAATATATTTATTTTTTCAAATTCTTTTTGGGAATATCCAAGAAAAATAGGCGATATATATTCATTACCAGATTATTTAATGTATTCACAAATATTTTGAACAAAGAGAAAACGACATCCAAAAGTGTGAACACAGGAAGTCGCGGTGGCAGGTAGCGATGACATCATCGGTAAAGTGGACATTCGCACTATCGGTTTTAGAAAATTTAGCAATCTTCGTTTTCGTTAGTTATAGTTTTAAGATTTCCTACTATTATAAAGCCCTCTCTACGCTTTGTTTATTTTTAAATTTAAATTTAAGAAATTTAGGAATGGTGGGGAACTTTGCTAAGCAATACTGAATGGCGAAGGGATCTAACTATCGATGTATGTAGCCAAATATGGAGAAGGGTGCAGTCACAATACCATTAAAAGATTAAATATTATTCCTAGTTAATTTTATAAGATTTCACCTTCATGCAAAAATCACAAAAAAAATAAGAAATTATACATTTTCTTTTGACTCAAAAACTTAGTTTAGATTCTCACTAGTCTTTACCTTTTAAATTTTAGTACAATTAACGGTTTATATTTGGTTACATAGGTATAATTATAATTATATTTTCACTTTTAAAAAATGAACAAAATGAAAAAATAAAACACCAACACTCACGTTTTTGTTTCATACTAATAAAAAATGAATAACAATTTTTCTCTTTTATAAGCTGGCTCGAAAGCTTTCGTATGAATTTTCTAATTTTGTGAAATTAATTAAGCTATATTTGGGATAATAATTATTGTTAAAATCGATGACTTATGTTGATAAGATCATTTCTAAGATAAGATTAGTTTGTTGTTGTCATTGCTATTGCTGGAATTTGCGTAATTAAATAATTTTCCATTTATTCAAATTTACGCGGTTTCTCTTAAATTCTGAATAAAGGGAGCATTAATACAATCAAATTTAAAATAGATATATTTTTTATTCAAAATATAAAAAGCTTTCCATGTAAAATGTAAATAAAAGCTTTTCGGCATTCCCACACGGCCCGCGCCTGGCCACACTGCGGCGAAACAACGAATAGAAAGCGACGTGGCGAAAGAATCGAAAAGCAAAGTCAATCGTCGAAAAAAGTTTTACCGGTACGGTCCTCAGTTTTTGTTGTAGCACTAGTAGGCGGTCGACTGCCGAATTGAATTTTGAAATTATATTTAGTTGAGGCTCGTCTGAAGTGATCCCAAATCAATACCAATATGTGGCGCCTGACAGCAGCTTTGCTCCTCGTCAGCTTCATTGCCGCCTCGACCGGCGCGGAGCAGGATGTCCTCGAGTTGGGAGACGACGACTTCGCCACCACCCTGAAGCAGCATGAAACCACCTTGGTTATGTTTTATGCCCCCTGGTGAGTGTATGGACAGTCGGGAGGGGCGTGGCCAGCGCGGGCAGGCGGTGTTATTTGCATTGCGTGTGCAATTCGGCCGTAATCAGCTTGTTGCGTCCGCAATTTAATTGAATTCCGGCGCTGCTTTTGTAGCAAAGTACACGTCAGCGTTTGCCGGTAAAAGGGAAGACAAAGAGGAAGAGAATCACAAAGATGACTTGTCAGTGTTGTTGGCGTCGGCCATTTTAAAGAGCGGGTTGTTAATTTCATACAATCGTACATCTATACAGTTAGTATATGTGGGCGAAGAGATAATGATGATAAGTATGTGCATGGGATATCCTGCTTTGTAATCTGGCGAGGGTTTCTTTATTAACTCCGACTGGAGCGCCACCGCCACTCTTTAACCCTTCTAAAGAGATGTGCATGTAGTTGTGCTCCAAACTAGTTTTCTTAGCTCTCCCCCCGCGCTTGACTAGATTTATTATTTCTATTTACTCAAGCGAGCAGTATGTTTGTCGTTTATCTGGCGAAAAACTAACAACTCACACTTGAGCAGTGAACTTGCCAAGTAAATAATCTGTATTTTTTATGCCGGCCGGCGAGGGAGCTCTTGAAATCCCCAAAGAGCTGTTAAACTACTTTTGGGTGGAATTATAATACGTACACCATAAACCTTATCGCTAATAAGAACATACTCAAGTGCATAGGGGGATAAGAATTATTTAAATTCCCGAAAAGGCCTAGCTTAAAGATTGTTATAAATAAAAGTGTAACATAGAGAAAGGTGTCTACGTCATTAATATTTATTGCCTACGTTTCATTATTATATTTGTTTATTAATTTCAAATTTGTTATATTTTTAAAACACCAGTTTTTCAGTTTTAAGATTACAATTAGAGACACTATTTTCGTCGAGTAAAGCCCTAATGGTTTATTGTTTCTAATGTTAGAATGAGCAATAGATAAGGCTGTTCGCTGATAAGTCCCGCACCCTAACTTTAATTACCAGCTAGTTTTTTTTTCGGGGATGTTGTCTCTCGTGTTGATAAAGAATGATGTATTAGAAAGTAGTTTTGTTTCCAACACGACCACAAAAAATATGATGATGTGACGTGTCTTATACGATTTTTTTTCTTTATCTTATTTTAAGGTGCGGCCATTGCAAGCGTTTGAAGCCCGAGTACGCCAAGGCGGCTGAGATCGTCAAAGACGATGATCCGCCAATCAAGCTGGCTAAGGTCGACTGTACTGAGGCCGGCAAGGAAGTCTGCAGCAAGTACTCTGTCAGCGGCTATCCCACGCTGAAGATCTTCAAGCAGGACGAGGTGTCGAATGACTACAATGGACCGCGCGAGGCCGCTGGCATTGCCAAGTACATGCGCGCCCAGGTGGGACCTGCCTCCAAGACCATCCGCAATGTTGCCGAGCTGTTAAAGTTCCTGGATACCAAGGACACTTCGCTGTTTGGTTACTTTAGCGATGTTGATTCCAAGTTGGCTAAGGTCTTCTTGAAGTTTGCCGACAAGAATCGCGAGAAATACCGCTTCGGACACTCCAGCGATGACGAAGTCCTGAAGAAGCAGGGCGAAACGTAAGTGGATAGGATATGCCTTCTTTCAACACTGCTCTCTAGCTTCTACAATATATAGATATTTTGTATAATTTACTACTTTTATCCTATCTTTTGCAGCGATGCTATTGTCTTGATCCGTGCCCCCCATCTGAGCAACAAGTTTGAGTCCTCCACCATCAAGTTTGAGGGCAGTTCCGACTCCGATCTGATCACCTTCGTCAAGGAGAACTTGTAAGTCCACAGCAGCCCATTGTGATTGATCCAGGACTTATATAACGATTTTTTAGCCATGGTCTGGTGGGTCACCGCACACAGGATTCGGTTCGCGACTTCCAGAACCCTCTGATCACCGCTTACTTCAGCGTTGACTATCAGAAGAACCCCAAGGGTACCAACTACTGGCGCAACCGTGTCCTCAAGGTGGCCAAGGAGTTTGTGGGTCAGATTAACTTTGCGATCGCCTCCAAGGATGACTTCCAGCATGAACTGAACGAGTACGGCTACGATTTCGTCGGAGACAAGCCCGTGATCCTAGCTCGCGATGAAAAGAATCTCAAGTACGCCCTGAAGGACGAGTTCTCCGTGGAGAATCTGCAAGACTTTGTGGAGAAGCTGCTGGCCAAGGAGTTGGAGCCATACATCAAGAGCGAAGCCGTGCCCGAGTCGAACGATGCCCCCGTCAAGGTGGCCGTGGCCAAGAACTTTGACGAGCTTGTAATCAACAACGGCAAGGACACGTTGATCGAGTTCTATGCCCCCTGGTGCGGTCACTGCAAGAAGCTGACCCCCATCTATGAGGAGCTGGCCGAGAAGCTGCAGGACGAGGAGGTTGCCATCGTGAAGATGGACGCCACCGCCAACGATGTGCCGCCTGAGTTCAATGTTCGTGGCTTCCCCACGCTCTTCTGGCTGCCCAAGGACGCCAAGAACAAGCCAGTGAGCTACAATGGTGGTCGGGAGGTCGACGACTTCCTCAAGTACATCGCCAAGGAGGCGACCACAGAACTGAAGGGCTTCGACCGCAGCGGCAAGCCCAAGAAGACCGAGCTGTAAGCTGCACGCACGCCAACTATAGCATTTCCATATTTTTGTAAAATCGAATGCATTCTCTTAACATATTTGAGCGGAAAATTGTATTAAATTATTTGATAGTGATGAACGCGTATGAACACAAATTGATGATTATGTCGCAATAAACTTAAATCTTCATTTAATAACTCTTAACAAGTAGTAAGGAAATCATTGATGTACTCCTAGTACAGATTCATAGGCTCCGGCATGTCCTCGAGGCGTTCGTCCAGATGTATGCGGAACCAGTCCCCCAGAAATGAGTGCTCGTTGTCTAGTCCCTCGAAAACCTCGTAGGCTACCTCGCCCAGCTTGGCATCGAAATCGAAGAGATACACAGTGCCGAAACAGTCTATATGGGCCATGATTTGGGTGATGCAACCGAGCAGGCACACCATGAAGTTGGCGCAGACACTGGTTCTCCATTCGTTTTCCTATAAATATGAAATAGGGATAAGGGTTTTAATATAATCTTAAACCAAGCTTTAGGGGCTTGACTTACGCAAGCCTTCCACAATTCGTTCAAGGAAGTCTTCTGTATGGTATGCACATAGGCATTTTCGTTCTGATAGGCTACAAAGAAGTTCTGGATGTTTAGCAGGAAGCACTTGCACCACCATTTAAGGGCTTCAGTACGGTTGTGCTCCGCCCACTCCAGGCGGTTCATATTATCCTGGCGCAGCTGCAGCTCCGACCACATATGACCGGGTCCATTGCTGAGAAAATGGAATCGGAATTCGGGTTAGAAAGGATTCCCTATTACAGCTTTCATAGAGACTCACAACTGGTTAGGATTCATTTCGGCTAACACTGGGGAATCGAAGAGAACACGCAGGCCGTTCATGTAAATGGAAAAGACGCCATTGAAGCGATTGTGTTCCTCGCATAATAAAATTTTATCGGGCATTACGAGTCCATTTTCTGAAAAGACATCATTTACTAGGGTCCATCCTCTCCCCTATCATTACCAGAACCTACCAGACAGGCAGTACTGGTGCAGCTTTCTTAGCCGCGCCTCCTGCATGATCCGCTTCAGATTATGCTCCTCAAAGGCGTCTTCGGCCTGAGTACTGGCCACGCGGCAAATGTACGTGGTGTTGCGAAACCGGGTGACCGCCAGTGTCCATCCCGCCTTGTGCTCGTAGGGAGCGCGCATCATTAGCTCCAACACCTCGCTGGTGCACACAATGTCGGCATTCACGTGCATCCGCATATTGCTGGCCCTTAGGAAGTTTGACTGCGGCGAGGACTGCACTATAAATTCCAGCAAGTTGTCCAGGTGCCTTTCCGATAGCTTTGCCGTCTTGATGTGATCACTGTCGCGCAGGTTAAGAGGAAAATTTTGGGCTGATGGCACCACAATGTAACGCATTCCCCGCATATGGTTTTCCAGGAAACCCAGCGGCGACAGACTGTAGCCACCGAATGACTCGGGCGTTGTTAATACAGGGAACTGTATCGTGTTCTCCGGCGGAATTACGTGAGCGTTAAGATTGAGTACGTTCCGTTGGTTCGAAAACATCTTAATTCTTTAAATTTCACAATGAACTTTATCCTTTGTTTTCTTTCTGAAGAAACCGTTGGTTTACGCTTAAGAGCACATGTTTCGAATTCGAAAATGGCTGCGATCGCTTTTTCGAAGATAGCCATAACAAAAAATCGGTAATAATAAACAAACTATGCGGCGCAAGGCTATAAAACGTGTGTTTAAAAATAATACAGTAACATATAACATAATTAATATTTATTTAATAATGTTCATTTACCATATTAATTTAATAAAATAATATTCCTTTAATTTTACCAATACTTCAAGTATATTATAAAGTTTTCAATTTTAAGTTTTTAAAATTTGTGTAATTATAATAATTTTATTAATTATTTAAAACATTCTTAGTTTTCAGTGTAGTACCAAAAAAAACAACAAATTCATGCAAAACCGGCCGGCAAAAAACGTAAACAAACCGTCAGTGATGCCAGACCGGCGAAACCAGATGATACACAGGCTAGCCGGCAACGCCGTGTTGAGTGCCTGCACGTGTTTTAAATTCGCGTGTTTTGGTTTTGTGGTTGCTCTTCATTTCGGGACGTTGTGCTGCAATTTAACGAGAAATAGTGGAAAACCGATTGATATATCATTTAAATTCCGACCAAGTGGTGTCTGGAGAGATGGAGGTGAACGCCAACAAGCTGCGGTTCGGCGCACAGCGACTGCTGCAACTGACGGCGAAGGAGCCGCACGACAACGTGTTTTCCGAAAGCCTACAGAAGTTTATCAAGAAGCAGGTGGGGTTTTCTTCACTCTTATCTACGTAACCCTCTTTAAATATGCATTGTGTGCGTTGCAGAAATATGTGCCGCAAGATGTGGAGCGCCTGTTCCGCGGGCTCAGTGAACACCTGCCGCTGGCCGCCTACACGGTGCCTGTAACTGTGTGCTTCGAAGAGCAGTTGCTGCTGCTCCTCTCCATGGCGCTGCGCTGGGATGCTACGGCTGGCCAGAGTTTTCGGCAGTACCAAGAGGAGTGTGCCGCTCTGGCCAAGCTCATGGATTTCTCTGTGGATGCGCAAAGGTAAGGTTTCTTCGGCATAGTTCTTTGGTTTTCTTAACAAAAACTCTTATATCCGTAGATTTGCCAAGAGCTACTTTCGTGGCAAGCCAGCTCCCTTCCAGGAAAGCCAGAGCCCTGAAAGTTTGTCCCACAAAAAGCTAAAGAACGGCAGTAGCAGCAACTATCCAGAGGATCAGGAGCTCATTGCCTGCTGCTATCAGTTGCTAAAAAGCGACACGCCCTACTTCCGCGAGCTGTGGGACTGGTCAAGCTTTATTTCCACCTATGCACACTCCCAGTCATCGTGCCCGAAGACGCAACTATACTGCAACCACATCATGGCCTTGCTCACAAATATGACTGCTCCTCAGCTGAACGCTCTGAATGACAAGGTGCCCACCGAAACGCGATTGGAATTTGACGGGGAGAAGGAGCAGGCTTGGCTGATAGCCAGGAACACTGGCAATCCCAGCTACAGTCCAGATGCTGCCGATCAATTGCTAAACCTGCAGCTAGAGGGAATCAATCAGGCTGTGACCAACATCGAGGGCGTTCTGCTGCCCACATTCAACAAGGAGAATCTGGAGTTCTATGCCACCACCGATGGCTGCTACGATCGCATTGTGAAGGTGGACTCAACGGTGGTCAATTTGCGTAGCATAGCCCTTGGCGTGGCAGCTGCCAAGCCCATTTGCCTATCCGGACCCGTGGGCTGTGGCAAAACCACGCTCATTGAGTATTTGGCCCGTAAAACTGGACGCATTTGTCCCAAGCCAAAGGAGATTGAGATCAGGGAGAAGGCTTTACAGAAAGCAGAGGAAGAAGACCAGCTGCTGATACCGAAGAAAAAGAACTCTAAGAAAACGGGAAGCAAACGCAAATTGGAGGATATGCCCCTGGAAGACCTACTCGATCTGGGAGAAACCACGCAAAGAAATGGCTTTCTACGCATTCAACTAGGGGATCAGACCGACAGCAAGATGCTGCTGGGTCAATATAGGTGCACCGATGTACCGGGAGAGTTTGTCTGGCTTCCTGGAGTATTGACGCAGGTGAACACTTCTGCAAGGTACAGCCTGGAAGACTTGAATTAACATATAAACCTTTTCAGGCCGTCATGCATGGTTATTGGTTGCTTCTAGAGGACTTAGATGCCGCCGCCCAGGATACGTACACTATACTGAGCAGTCTTTTCGAGCGTCAGAGTCTCAGTGTTCCTGGCTTCCGTGATTCTGTGAAAATAGAGCCGGGATTTCAGCTGTTTGTCACAGTGAGGTGAGTTGACTCTTTTAGGAGGAAGTATAATAATTCAATTTATCATACCCTTCCCCTCAAATTCAAACCAAATCCCTACTCACTGAGTCTTCTCTCCATTTCTAGAACCAACAAATCGGCCAGCAACTCTAGCGCAAAATCCCTGTACTCCCTGCTGGATAAGTATCTGTACACCATCAACATCCTTCCCCTTTCCCGCAACGAACTCTGCAAGGTCGTGAGTACTAACTATCCCAAACTGTCCACGGTGGCCAATCGTATTGTGGATGTGTTTCTTACCTTCTCCAGCGGCGATCACACGTCCGCTGATAATTTGAGAAAGCAGGAATCGGGCGACAAGGCTGATAATACAGAAAAATATGTGGCCTTGCCCTTTGAGCAGGTCTCTCTAGGTACGTCCAGTCCCAACTCCGGTAGATTGGTGTCCACCCGTGACCTGGTGAAGCTGTGCCATCGCTCTGACTCTCAGTTTTCGGTCACGAGCTCTGAGTGCGCCTACTTTGTCTTCCAAAACGCAGTGGATGTGTTCTGTTCCTATTTGCCGCATAGTAAGGAGAAGATCACCCTGATCACTAGTATCGGAGCCAAGCTGGGCATCATCCGTTCCCGCTGCGAGCATTTTGCGAATGAATACAAGCCAGATGTGGAGTTCGGGCTGGAGCATATCAGGATAGGAAGGGCCAACCTGCTGGCCAAATCGGAGCTGGCAGAGAATGAGGAAGCCTCTGAACAGGACTTGAAGCGACAGAAGCTTACAGAGCAGACAAGGCGAGCCATTGGAAAGGTGGCTGGTCACAAGAAGACCACCTTCTCGTTCACCCGTCTGGCCAGCTGCATCCTTGAGCGGATTGCCGTGTGTGTGAGCCACTCGGAGCCGGTACTGCTGGTGGGCGAAACTGGAGTGGGCAAGACCTCGTCGGTGCAATACCTTGCCGAGCGTACGGAGCACAAGCTGGTAGTGGTGAACATGAACAACCAGTCGGATGTGTCGGATTTGGTGGGTGGCTTCAAGCCCGTGGAGCTTAATTACGTTTTAGAACCGCTGCGGATCGAATTCGAGCATCTCCTGTGCGAGACCTTCAATCCGGAGAAGAACACACAGTTCCTGCGCATCTTTGCCACGCACTACAACAGCGGTCGCCATACTGTGATCATCCGGACCATGATTAATATCTGCCTGCAGGTGGCCAAGAACCCCGAGTTGAAGTGCCACCAGTTGCTGCCCCGCTGGGGGACCTTAAGCGAGAAACTGCAAAAGCTGCAGATGCAGCTGGACAAGAGCATCAACATCTCATTTGCTTTCATACCCGGTTCCCTGGTGAACTGCATCAGCAATGGCGATTGGGTTTTGCTGGACGAGATCAACTTGGCCTCGGCGGAGACCCTGGAATGCCTTTCCACCATCCTCGAACCGGAGGGCTCTGTGGTGCTTCTAGAGCGGGGTGATTTCACGCCCGTAAAGCGGCATCCGGACTTTCGAATCTTTGCCTGCATGAATCCCAACACGGATATTGGCAAGAAGGACCTGCCCGTGGGCATACGCAATCGTTTCACGGAGTTCTTTGTGGATGAACTCACAACGGATGCAGATTTGAGCCTGCTGGTGAGTGACTACCTGGCCAATACTGGGATACAGCGAAAGTCCGTGCACAGCATAGTCCAGTTGTACAAATCCCTACGCCGGCTGTCGGAGCTCCAGCTGAACGATGGCCTTGGGAATCGTCCTGTTTACTCGCTGCGCACCCTATGCCGCAGCTTACGAATCTGTGCGCGGAATCTTTGCGGCTCCATCGAGCGGAATCTGTACGAGAGCTTCTGCCTGAGTTTCCTCACCCAACTGGATCCGGAATCCCACCACGTGGTGCTGCTGCTCATCCAGAATGCCCTGCTATCCAACGCCAAGGCTGTGTTGAGCAAACAATTGCCGCAATTGGGTGAGAATTATTTGGACTTTGAGGGCTACTGGATTCAGCCGGGTAACCTGGAGCTGCAGCCCTGCTCGCACTACATTCTCACGGAGAGTGTGAAGAAGAACCTTAAGGATCTGTCCCGCATCATCTCGATTGGAAAGCTGCCTATCCTTCTACAGGGACCCACAAGTGCGGGTAAGACCAGCTTGATTGATTATGTGGCCAGGAGGAGTGGCAATCGATGCCTGAGGATCAACAACCATGAGCACACGGATCTCCAGGAGTACATTGGTACCTATGCAGCGGATTTGGATGGCAAGCTGACCTTTAGAGAGGGGGTTCTGGTGCAGGCCATGCGTCATGGCTTCTGGATTATCCTCGACGAGCTCAATCTTGCCTCCACGGACATTCTGGAGGCCCTCAATCGCGTGCTGGATGACAACAGGGAGCTGTACATTGCAGAGACCCAGACTTTGGTAAAGGCCCATCCCAACTTTATGCTGTTTGCCACGCAGAATCCTCCTGGACTCTATGGCGGCCGAAAGACCTTGTCGCGTGCCTTCAAGAATCGTTTTATTGAGCTCCACTTTGCGGACATACCGCGTGTGGAACTGGAGACCATTCTGGAGAAGCGCTGCCTGATTCCGCCCTCTTATGCCCGCAAGATGGTCCAGTGCATGACCCAGTTGCAGCAGCATCGCCAGAACACCGCCAAGCAGGTGTTTACCCTGCGCGACCTCTTCCGCTGGGGCAATCGCTATACTCATGCGGACAAGTCCCTGCACGAGGACACCAAGTATGACTGGAATCAGCATCTCGTGGAGGAGGGCTATCTTGTGTTATCCTCGAAGGTGCGTTCACAGGAAGAGCATGAGCTGATCGAGAGGACTCTGCATGCCAACTTCCGCAAGAAACTGGATCTACAGTTGCTCTTTGACATCCAAACGGAAAGGAAGAACTCCTCCATGGTGAGTCGAAAAATTCTAGATGCCATTAGGAACTTTAAGCAGCGCGGCGACATTGTTTGGACTCGGAACATGACCCGCATGGCTGTGCTCACGGCCAAGGCCTTGGAATTTGATGAGCCTGTGCTCCTGGTGGGTCCAACGGGTTGTGGCAAGACCACTGTTTGCCAGCTCCTGGCCAGCATAGCGAATGTCCAGCTGCGCATTCTCAACTGTCACATGCACACCGAGGGGGCAGACTTCTTGGGCGGATTGCGTCCTTGCCGAGGAAAGGAATCAAACCAGTTGTTTGAATGGGCCGATGGTCCTCTAATTTATTCCATGCAAGAGGGCTCTTACTTTATGGCCGATGAGATATCCCTGGCTGAGGATTCGGTTTTGGAGCGGCTCAATTGCATCCTGGAGCCAGAGCGCACGGTGCTTTTGGCGGAGAAGGGCGGCGTGGCTGAGGTTGATGTAAATCCAGACTTTGTGGTTCAGGCTAAGCCTGGCTTTCAGTTCCTTGCCACCATGAATCCAGGTGGAGATTTCGGCAAGAAGGAACTCTCACCCGCTTTGAGGAATCGCTTCACCGAGGTCTGGTGCCTGCCCTCCGACAACAAGGAGGATCTCATAGAGATTGCCTACAACTGCATGAGCCGGCAAGCGGATCAAGACCAGATAAATACCCACAAAGTGGCCGAGTACCTGGTGGAGATAGTGCTGCATATACGCAACTCCAATGAGAAATTCAAGTTCTCCGTGCGCGACATCCTGGCCTGGGCCAATTACATGGTCAGTAATCGAAGGTTAAGCTTTGCCGAACAGGCCATTTTCGGTCTGGAAACTATATTTCTAGATGCGCTGGAAATGCTGCCCCATGAATCGCAGGAGCAGGTGGAGCAGCTGAAGGCCAGGATCACCAAGGAGGCTGTCAAACAGGCTGGTTTGATCTTGAAAGAAAAGTTTTCCCTGGAGGAAGTTAAGCAGAAGAGAGGCTTGGAAGTCCAGCTGGATGAGTCACGCTTTGGCATTCGTCCTTTTTTTATTGAAGTAAATCCGGAACGCTTGTCGCCGGCCAAGGCAGACTTCCTGTTCGATGCCCCTACCACCAAGCAGAACTTGTTCCGTTTACTATCTGCTCTTTCACTCCACAAGCCTGTGCTCCTGGAGGGACCACCTGGTGTGGGAAAAACCTCCATTGTGGAGAGCATTGCGGCAGCCATTGGCTATCAAATCGTGCGCATCAACCTTTGCGAGCACACAGACCTGGCTGATCTCTTCGGCACCGATCTTCCAGCTGAGGATAATCTGCTTGAGACCGAGGTGGCATCTTCGGGTCTCCGTCAAATGGGCAGCTTTGTGTGGCGCGATGGTCCTTTGTTGGCTGCTCTAAAATCAAAGAACACCTGGATTCTGCTGGATGAACTGAATCTGGCACCACAGTCCGTTCTAGAGGGTCTCAATGCTGTGCTGGATCATCGCGGAGAGGTGTACATCCCAGAATTGAACAAGAGTTTCCACTTGGCTGGCTCCACGCGAATCTTTGCCTGCCAGAATCCCCTTAAGCAGGGCGGCGGACGCAAGGGTTTGCCGCAATCCTTCCTCAATCGTTTTACCAAAGTGTATCTCCGCAAGCTGACCACTGAGGATCTGCTTCATGTGGTGAATTCTAAATACGGGAAGTACTTTGAGCAGTTGAATGGGCATTTCCTAGAGCTTCTGGACAAGGACACCGAAGGAAATCTCTTTGATATCTACGAGGGAAAAGGAATGAAGTCTCCAACAAACAGCTTTGATTTAGCAGCTCGCTTGGTTTTGTTCTCGGAGCAACTCGATCGAGGAGTGGCCTCGATGGAATTTGGATACAAAGGTGGCCCCTACGAGTTTAATTTACGTGACATTCTCCGCTGGTGCGATCTGTTACACAACCCGCAAACGGGTTACATTATGGCTACCAAGTCCTCTGTCTTCCAAAAGGCTTTCCATGATTTCCTTCTGACCCTCTACGAAAGGATGCAGCTGGTATACTACCAAAGGATGCGCTGTGACCAGGACAAGTTGTATATACGTAATGTCTTCTCGGCTGTCTTTCAATGCAATGCTGAGCAGCTAAATGCCATTTCCGAGGATGTTTCTCTTTATTGGATAGCGGATAAGGTGTATCTCAACGATGTGGTCCTGCAGCGAGAGCAGGGGGATGTTCTAGAGATGGCTACGCAACAGGCGCAGGCACCTCCTATGCTTCTGGACAGCCAAAGGCAGCTGCTTAAGCAAATAGTAGAGACTGTGCACATGGAGAAGCCTTTGCTACTTTGCGGCTCCACAGACAGTGGCAAGACCAAGCTGATTGATGCCCTCTGTGTCCTGTCCAATCGAGTGTGCAACACGGACATTATTGATGACTCGGTGACGGGTAGTTTTCAGCAGGTGAGAAGCTTGGGGTCTTCCTTACTTTAAACTCTTTTAATGTCAAAGTCTTTTCTTTTTAGATTGATTTGAATCGTCACCTGGAGGTGATTTACAAGAAGGTTGAGATCCTGGTCTTTGCCAGCGTTCAACGTGCATTTGTCCAGCAAAACCATTCGGAGTTTACAGAGCAGTTGTGGAGCTTATGGAGCAAATACAATGCCCTGGCCAAGGTGACTACAGGTGAGTGAGAATCATCTTAATTTCTACATCCTTATCTACATGGTATTATCCTTTTTTAGAGTTCCAGCAGCACAGCGTTTTGGATGAACTGAAGCTTTTTAGCGAGCGTTTGGTCTCACTAGGCAGGATCATAGAGAAGTTAGAAGCCACACCAGCGGCCTGCCAAGGGGAGGCCTTCCAGCAGCTCAAGGACATCAAATCGCAGCTCTTTCTACTCCAGGCCTACATTAAGTCCGCCGATTCCCTTAACACAGGCGGTTCCTTTGAGTGGGTGGACTCCCGCATTGTGACCTCGCTGAAATGCGGTCAATTCATATTGCTCGAGCATGTGAATCTCTGTTCATCGGCTGTCCTGGATCGCCTGAATCCTGTATTTGAGCCCAATGGCAGCCTTTTGATTGCCGAAAAGGGAATTAGCGCCCAGGACAGTGCTGAGGTGGTGTCGAAGTCCCCTGGATTCCGAGCCTTCCTCACTGTGGATCCCAAAAATGGCGAACTATCGCGAGCCATGCGCAATCGTTGCATAGAGTTATCCTTGTCTAGGGACAGCTATTCGGCGGATGACATGCGGGCCTTTGTCCATGAGCAGGGCGTGCACCAAACAGAGGCCATTGACTGTATCCTGGGCATTCACAAAGGCATTTCTCAGCTAACAGAGTTCAATAGCTACACCATTTCGCACCTCACCCAGTTTGCCTTTTTGAGTGCCGCCTACAAGCGGATTGGTTACCAGCTGAAGCGTGCAATCTATGTGGCCGCCATGGAGGTGTATGTGTACTCCGCCAGCACGGATCTGATGGGCTTTGGCTTGTCCTATTATCAGAATAAACTAAGAGAAGTAGTGCTGGCCCAGACCGAGTTGTTTGAGGAGGATACCACGTCCCAAGAGGATCTTTTAAACCAGGTCATTCTCAGCACAGGAAACCTGAATTCCTTGGCGCTAATCAAACTGCAAGCAGCGGTTTTAAAAGTTTTAGTAGATTCCACTGGCAATATGCCCGAAAAGCAATTGGCAGCTCTGTTTCAGGATATGAAAGACCTAAAATTGGTTGAAATCAAACGAGAGGAATTGATTCGCCACTTCCTGTACATTCTCTACGAGTCATGTGCTTTTGGAGACCTGGAGTTGAGACATCTCTACCTGGAACCTTGGCTAAGGGACCACCCATCTCTTCAAGAGTTATCCCAGCATCTTTACACCTGCCTGCAAAAGAGGAGCAGCCAAACTCTGGTAAATCTGCCCTGGAATCGTCGGCTCTTTACCAGACTCCGTGACTACGCCGGAGATACTGAAAGCAGCTTGGATGTGAATTCCCTAAACCTGAGCGCTCTCCTTCTCGCCCGACTCTTGGTGTCTAAAATTCCTTCAAGCACCGCTACAGCAGTAAAGAACATGAATGCCCTGGAGTATTCGCAGGCTCTGCTAAAATGCAACGTAACCGAGAAGTTTGCTAATACTTTCCTATCCAATCTGGCCAGCTTCCTTCAAGAACTAAACAGCTTTTTGTTGGATAACTTGGAAGCAGCTAAGTTGGACCTGCCACAGTATGCAGAGTTAGTAACCCGCTTCCATTGGTTCAATCGGTTGGTGGTCACAGCTCAGCAAAAACTGCTCTACAACAATGTGGTGCATACCCCACTGATGCAGAAGCTGGTGCTCCATTTCCAATGGCTGGAGAAGCACCTACTGTTTCCTCTACTCGAGTTGACTCCCTCCGCGGGAAAGCTCACCCTGCAAAAGAGTATGAGGGAGATAAAGGAGTACATTGAGGAGACGAAGCGACCCCTGAACGTGACGTGCAAGATTTACTCCAAGCAATTCACCCAGTTCCAGCCCTACTATCAGGATCAACAGGTGATTTAAATATATAACTTATTATCAAACTTGTCGGAGTTTTATAAATCCTCTCTCACCAGATACAACTTCACAATGACTTGGAGCAATTGGTGGCCTTGCTCAGTGTGGTGCCCATCTATGCCAACTTGGAGCTCAACGTTTGGCTCAAGAAATGGACGCTGCTGCAGTCGGAGGAGGCAAACAAATGGCGGTTGTTCCTGCGCAGCCACTCTCATGGCTTCCAGTTGAAACCCTTTGAATTAAGTGGAGCCCTGGAGAATGAGACCCTGCAATCCTGCCTGCAGAAACTGCAAACCAAGCTAAAGGAAGCCCAGGAAGCCGGGACCGAAAACGGTTTGGATCTAGAGTTAAATCTCAATGGTATAAAGGAACTTTTGGATGCAGACAAGGAAGAGGATCAGTATATACACCCGGAAAGTGTGGCTTCCAATTCGCCAACACTTTTACTGGCTGCCCTAAGGGAGCTCTTTATGGAGCGTCTGTTAATTGGTACTCTACGTGAGGATTTCGACGAGCAGGTGAATCCATTCTATACCGAGCAGTTGCTCACGCTGAACAGAAATCTATGGAACTGCCTCAGAACCCTTGAAAGTGCCTCACACGCCGAGATTACCAGTGCTTGTCTTGAACTCAAAAACGAACTAGCTCATCTACAAAACCAGGAGGAGTTTTCAGCCTTGCTGCAGCAGGTCAGCAGCAGCTACAAGGGATTGCGCACTTATCAAAGGCAGTATCGCAACTCCATCCACTGCTATCAGCTGGAGAATCTCTCAACGCGTCTGGACTGTGTGCAAGGGCCTTCGGGCGAAGATGGCACTGATATCTCCAGTTGCTACCGCTATCAGGGTCCACCCTTGTCAGGTCTGTTTCTTTCCCTGATTTGTCAACCGAATGGACAGCTGCGATCGGTGCCACTCAGCGAGTTGCAGGAATGGCGCTCATCCCTACAGCAAACTCGTCATTTGCTCTGGGAGAATTCCCAGCTACTGAGTCCTCGATACAGTGCCAGGGTTAACTGCCTGGCAGAGGCCCAGGAAAATGCCAGACAACTGCTGCAGGAGGTGGAGTATGTGGGTGACTTGAGTCGAATGGAACAAAAGCCAAATGAAGGCTTTGAAAGTTGCACCAAGGAACTGACCAAGGTCCTCCAAGACTTGAAGGAGGATAAACTCAATACCGACTCTCTGGTAAGCGTTTTTAATATTGCTTTATCCAATGTCCTGGTGGGAGCCCTTGAGCTTTGCTTACTCACCAATGCCCCGCTGATTGATCCCGTGGAGAAAAACCGTCTAAAGAACCAATATATAACTGAGGATATCGATTGTCTTGGAACTCTAACCACTGCCTATGACTTTATGAAGATTGTTATGAAGTACCGGCACTTTGGAGCCGAGATATACGACCAGCTGGAGGTCAGGTTGAAGGCCGCCCTTCAGCGGCAGCAGCGACTTTCCCAGAAGTTGGCCCTGCGCCCGGAGCAGTGTCTATATGCCGCCTTAGTGCAGGATCTCACCCACTTTCTTCACTCGAATGGGGACTGTGTAGCACTCTACAAGCTCTTCCTGCTTATACGCTCCGAGTGGGGCAACTTCCAGGGTACCCAACCGGCGACCAAAGCGCAGTTAAAGAGCAGCACTGAGGCACTGGGAAAACTAGAGCTATGGCTGGCCAATGCCCAGAGATTCGTGCATCACACCCTGTCCAAGTATTCAGCTTATTACCAGGACTTTGTGGAGCCCATCAAGTGTGCAGTAAACCAGCTGAGATACGGTTTCGAGTCCCTAAAGGTGATCTTTGCGAGAGTTCAGCGGGCGGGAAGCGTTAAACTGGCAGAGCAACTGCAGGAAACCATAGCCGATATTGTCCAGTTCCCTTCCCAGCAGCCACTGGTAATCAGGAACAGCAGGCTATACTCCTTACTCTCAGAACTGCCCCACAGCGAGTACGAGTACTTCCGCCTTTTGAAGGCCAAGCTGAGCGAGCTGAGCAACTACATCTCCCTGGGCAGTGTGATAGATGAAACCACCTTTGCGGCCTACGACGATGCCCTGAGCATCTGCAACCAGACCTGGCAGCAGGAGGAGCAGCGTCGCTGTCAGCTCAAGGCGGAGGCGGAGAGTCTATATGTGACCAGAACAAAGGGTGGAGTGGAGAGCGAGGAGCTGCAGGAGTTGCACGAGATTGAGCAGAATTTCCCCACCAACCTGGACGAAGACTTTGCAGAGTTCGTGTCGCAGCCCACCCTAGAGCAGGTCCTGAAGCTGGACAAGACGGCGAGTGCCAAGGCCAAGCAGGCGCAAATTGTGCTTGAGGAGGATTATGCCTTCCTGGCCCGCAACTTTATTGCCGTGATGGGCCAGCACACGCCAGTTTATTACAAGGACCAGTCCAAGTCTTCGAGGGAATCGGAGCTACACTTACTCTCTCCCTACCGGGCACGTTTCCAGGTGTTTGCCCATCTACATGGCCACTATAAGGTTGCCCTGGGCACGAGTCTGGATGAGAGGGCCTGCAATGGCCTGGCCTTTGGACTGGCCCTGCAGCAAAGGCAGCTGAAGGATATCGAGTTGGAGGAGGGAGTGCCTAGTGTTCCCTACGATTTCTACAAGGACTCCAATATAAGTGAAATCCAGAGCTGCCTGGGCGTGATGGAGCGCATTGAGAAGCGGGTGATGGAACAGCTGGAGCTGTATCCGGAGCATGCCGGCCTGGCGGACATCAAGCTGGTGATTGGTCGCATCCGCCGCCTGCCAGCTCACGCCTCCGTGGTGCGCTTTAACACGGGCTTCCAGCTGCTGAGACAGAAGCTGGCTTTGTGGAACGAAGTGGCTCACAGGAATAATAATTTGGTTACAGAGGAGACCGAGGTGGCTGAGTTTGTACAGCGCTGGACACGACTGGAGCTTCAGCACTGGCGGAATTGTCTAGGACAGACGGCGGCCCAAGTAGAGCTGCAGGCCTATCGCTATTGGTTCTTCATTTACAACCTGCTGCAGCAGTTCCTGCACCAACAGCAACTTGATCAGTCCTACACGGACATCAAGTTTGCCGAACAACGCTTTGCCCAGGAGCAGCTGCTGGATGCCCAAGACCTGGGACAGGCTCAAAGCTTGGAGCTACCTCAGGTTGTGCGCATCCTGCGTCAGTTTGTGGAGGCCTCTTGCTATGGAGATTTCCATATACGCCTTCAGCTGCTCCACGGCTTCGAGATGTATCTCCATAATGTGGAGCAAGCGGGGAAGATTGAAGGATTGCCACCTCTAATCGCCGCCTTGCACAACCTTCAGCTGTACTTCTCCCAGTTTGCAGGAGAGGTTTCGGACGCTGTGAAGTCCAAGCGATCGCCCATTGAAAAGAAGCTCAAGGAGTTTGTCAAGATCCAGAGCTACAGCAAGGATCTGAGCTACTTTAGCATGCGCAACAGCGTTGCCAGCGTCCATCGCAACCTGAACAAGTTCCTCAAAGAGTACCGGCTGGCTTTGCAGGAGAAGATCAGCGAGGTCTTTCAGCCCAAGGACTCCACGGCCAAGGACTACACCTTTGGCAGCGACAAGGGCAAGGGCTTGAGGAACTACAACAAGATGAAGTATTTGAATACGGAGCGGCAGCAGTTTGTGGCTAGCGAGAAGCTGCTGGAGAAGTATGCCATTCCCTTGGAGTTTGTGTCGGAGAACTCCCTACTCCAAAGGCTGGACAAGCACTTCCGAACAGCTCGTCATGTGGTGAAGGAAACCCTGGGACAGGTGCCCTACTGCGAGCTAATCACCGACTTGGATGATTTGCTGGCCAGCCAGCTGGAGCGTTGCGAGCACTTGCGATCTTTGAACGTGGATCGGTCAAAGGAGCGTCCCCAGCAGAAGCAGGAGGCCAAACAGATCCTGCAGCAGAAGCGCAAGGCCCTCACGGATCTCTTCAAGATGCTGCATCGTCTGGGTGCCAGCTACAAGACCGGTCTAATGGAGCTCTCTCTGCGCAGCGAGTTTGAGGATTTCCAGCTGAAGCCCTTCTCCATACGGGCCATGTTGCCACGCCTGCATCCCAGTGCCCAGGAGTTGAACGAGCACCTAGATCTGTACTACATGAAGAGTGTGTTCAAGCTGAAGCTGCTCCAGAACATTATGCTGACTCCTTTGTCGGAGCTGGGTCCTCCCAATATCGAACGCATCAAGGGCTTTGCAGTGGATCTGTTCCTCCTTGTGCAGCAACAAAGGGAGCAGCTATCTGGATCCACCAAGGAGCTCTATGAGCTACGAAACTCTTTGGAGAACTTGCGAAAGCTGGCTGAGATTTTGCCGCAGGCGGAAAGTGATCCTGCTACTCTGAGCTTTGCCCGAAGTGCCGATGCAGCAGCTCTGCTCAAGCGTAATCTCTGCCAGATTTATTACGTGGTGAAGCAATGGCAACTGTTGCTTAGCTGTGCTCCCAGTTCTATTAAGGAAAACAGTGGCAACAGCGTACTGGTTAGGAGTGTTCCCTTGGCCCAACAGGAACTGCAGGATCTAAGCAGACAGATCCTGAGCAGCAGTCAAAGATTGCTAAACGAACTTAATGCCGGCAGTCTGGAGTTCCTGTCCCGGGCAAAGTTGGATTATTACACTAAAAACTATGAGCAGATTTTGCAAATCATTGAAAAGGCTTTGGAAACTCTTCGAGCAGGTCAGGGGAACGAACATCTGCCGGTGGCACAGCCCTTACTGGAACTTCTAGCCAACCTGCGAGCTGAGAAGCCTGTGGAGATTCTCCCGGAGAGCATAGATCTGGCCAATGCCGACACAGAGCTGGCCAACATAGCTCACAGTGTCCTAATCTCCCTGCAAAAGATTTACAAACAGCACGTAGCCAAGCCGGAGGCTGAACAGAATGGTGGCGATGCCAAGGATCAGGAGTCCCAAGAGGCCTTGCAAGAGCAGCACCTGAAGAAGTGTCTCACTGGGGAACTCACCTCCGATTGGCAACAGCTAAGCCTGCCCCGTGTGCTCGACAAGCTCTCCAATGTATTGCTCGTGCTCAGACACTCAGATTCCCAAAGCAAGGACAAGTTGTTGTGCGTGCGTCGGGCCATCGCCCTGCTGCCCATTCTGGAGCAGTATCAGCTGCTGGCCGACTACCTACTCCTCCAGCAGTTGGCCACCCACAAGGTCTCCGCCAAGATGCTGTCCATTGTACTGACCGTGTTCGTGGAGATTGGGAGCAAGGGCTTCTGTGTGCCGCCCGATCTCATGCAGGATGAGGAGGGTCAATCCAAGCAGGATTCGAAGAACGGCGAGGGCTTTGGTTTGGAGGATGGCACTGGGGAGAATGATGCCTCGGACAAAATTGAATCCGAGGATCAGCTGGACGATGCCAAGCGGCCGGAGGATCGCAAAGACGAGGGCGACAAACAGGAGCCCGACTGCAAGGAGGAGAAGGGCATCGAGATGAGCGATGACTTTGATGCCAAGATGCAGGATGTGGACAAGCCGGAGGAGGATGACAGTGGAGAGTCAGAAGACGAGGAGGATCTCAATAAGGAGATGGGCGAGACGGAGGAGGGTGCTGAGAAGCTGGACGATCAGATCTGGGGCGATGACGAGGAGAAGCCCGAGGAAGAGGAGGAGCAGCCTGAGATGAACGAGGAGGATCAGGGCAAGGGCAGCAAGGATGAGAAGGATGCGCATAACGATCTGGACACCAAGAACGATGCGGCCAAGGAGGATGGCAAGGACGAGCACGAGAAGGACGGCTTGGATGCCACCAACGAGCCGAGCGGCGAGGACAAGCGCAAAGAGCAGGCCAAGGACATTGACGATATGAAGGAACCCGAAATGGATGAGGAGCAAACGAATGCCATGCACAACGAGCTAGAGGAGCCGCCCGAGCCCGAGGAAATGGACCTGGGTGACATGAACAACGTGGACGAGGGTCACGACGATCCGGAGGAGCAACAGACCACCGACGAGAATCCCTTCGACATTGATGCCATGAAGGAGAACATGCAACCGGCTGAGGAACCCGAAGCAGATGCCGATGAGGAACCTGTCGGCGAGGATGAGGGCAACGATGCCCAGAGCGATGGCAGCGACTCGGAAGAGGATGAGGCGGGCACTGAAACCAAGCCAGCTCAAGAAGGCCCAGACGAGGGTGACGAAGCCACGCCCGAAGACGAAAAGGAAGAGCCCGAGACGCAGACACGCGGCGAAATCGAGGAGGAAGACGAACCCAAGCCAGAGGATGCCTCAGAGGATTCCAAAGAAGAGGAGAAGCGCGAGGAAAAACCAGAGCAGCATACCCAGTCCAAGGACAAGGCCAGCAAAGAGGAAAACGTGCAATCCATACCAGAGACCGAGCAGAGCAGTTCCGCAGATCAGGTGCAGCCTCAGGACCAGGATATCAAGCAAGACCAAAAGATGGACGAACAGGAAACGGGCGAGGAGAAGGATGGCGTCGGCCAGGCGGAGAACGATGTAAGTTTTTGATAATTAAATAACTTATTCCCCCCTAAATTAACTTCAATTACAGACAAACGATGGCGGTCATCAGGGCGTGGCTGAAACCCAGGAAACTGTGTCCCAGGAGGAGCGCAAAAACGAGCGGCAAACGCAGGAGAAGCGAAAGCAGGGACAAACCAATGAAGAGCGTTCCTTGGGTAAGCCAGAGCTTTATTTCTATTTTAATTCTTCTAAAACTTTTTCTAAAAAAAACTTTGAATTTAATCCTTTACTAAAGGTGAAGCGGAAAAGAACAAATTAAAGCAGCTCAAGACAATTGACCAGCTGAAGGAGTCCAAGGACGACGATGATCAGCCACAGCAGCCGGAACCCATGGATCAAGCAGAGGCTGAGGAATATCAGCATGTCAAGGAGCCCAAGAACAGTGACAAAACCACCCTGGACAATGCCACCGAAGAGCAGTCAAAGAAAATCCAGCATCAGGAGGAGGAGCAACCCAACGAAGAAGAAACGGAAGCTGAGAATAATGAAGAAGTAATGGATACAGAAGAGCCGGCAGCTCAGCCAGAGGATGATGCTCAGCTGGAGCAGCTGGGAGCGGAAAAGACAGAACAAAAGTCCGAGAAACCCTCAAAGACAGAGCAGGCAAAGGAACGCCTGGAAACGCCGGAAGGCATGGAGATTGAGGGTGAGGTGGTGCCAACCATGACAGTTCCTCGCAGTGCAGAAACCACGGCGCACAGCAAGTGAGTTGAGGCTTCATTGTTATAAACTTTTCATACTAAGAAGTATATCTTCCAGCACCGAGCTCCTGCTGGACAAGAGCTCCCATGCGGAGGAGCTTAGCTCAGTGGAGCAGATGGAGCTCAGGCAGCAGTATCACCAGCAGTTGACCACATTCCGGGGGGTAAGGAAAAAGAAAAGAAAAGGAAAAAAAACGAAAGAGGAGATTATTTATTATGATTTTTAGGTCCAGCCCCAGCACGAGGACTACGAGAGCTGGCAGAGTATTTCCAACCGAATGACCCAGAATGCCCGCGAGCTCTGCGAGCAGCTACGACTCATCCTGGAGCCCACAAAGTGCACACGACTGAAGGGTGACTACCGCACCGGACGACGCATCAACATGAAGAAGATCATTCCCTACATTGCCTCACAGTTTCGCAAGGACAAGATCTGGCTAAGGCGCACGAAGCCCGCGCAGCGTGACTACAAAATCACCATTGCCATTGACGACTCCAAGTCGATGCATCACAACAATTCTAAGACTCTTACCTTGGAGGCCATCTCGCTGGTGTCCCAGGCACTCACCCTGCTGGAGAGCGGACGACTAAGCATCGTGTCCTTTGGCGAGGCAGCACAGATTATACTCAACCATACGGAGCAGTTCGATGGCCCGCGGCTGGTAAATGCCATGAACTTTTCTCAGGACAAGACAAAGATTGCCGGACTCCTGGACTTTATACGCACTGCCAATGCAGAGGAGAGCGGCCTGGGCGGCGACAATGGCCTGTTTGAGAACTTATTGCTGGTACTCAGCGATGGGCGAAACATATTTAGCGAGGGCGCCCAGAAAGTGAAGAATGCCATTAAGCTAGCACGCCTACAGCGCATCTTCCTGGTCTACATAATCATTGACAATCCGGATAACAAGGTAAATGTATGGGAAATTTAAATGCTTAGGTCATCACTAATCTCTGTCTGCTTTTTTCAGAACTCTATCCTAGATATACAGCACGTGGCTGTCAATGCAGACGGATCCGTAAACATCAGCTCCTACCTGGACAGCTTCCCATTTCCCTACTATGTGATCGTCCGAGACCTCAACCAGCTGCCCCTGGTGCTCAGCGAGGCGATGAGGCAGTGGTTCGAGCTGGTCAACAGCGAGTAATGGCATTAGCCATCCCGGAGATATCATAGAAAATATGATTTTCTTAGTTTTAGACATTAATAGACAAGTAATTTAAGTAGTTAATTGATAAGGAAAATGAATTCAAAGTGTATTCTTTTTGTTATTTTAACCCAAGGGTTCCTGACCCGCCATTGAAAGGCGTTTTAGGCTTAAGTCAAAATGTTACTTGAAATATATCTATTTTTTTACAACTAAAAATGATTTATTGTTTGACTTTTCATCAAATTATTCGAAGAATAAATATATTTATGAAAAATATAATATCCTTAGCCACAAATTCTTACCTAGAGAATTTTTAACTCCCTTACTTTATGACACGTAAATTTTATGGCTGTTCGATCTGATCAGAAAGCAGCATAGAAATCATAATGCAAGAGTATTCAAACTTCGGCGTTATGAAATTGGCTTGCTTTCTTTTATTGTTTATAATTTGTGATATTTCCGGTATAATGAATATGTTGGTATTATTATTAGCAATCCGATTCGAACTTGATAACTGGCTTTCTGATAAGGACGCCTTCTAATAAGTGGCAGAGAGCAGCGCAAAGTAACAAACACAGTCGGAAAAGTACACTCAATGGCTACGGATCGGGTAAACCATACGTTGGAGGACGCCGCTAATCTTTCAAGTCCACAAGTCGTAGAAGGCGTAAGGGTTACTAACTCAATTAAACATAATTTCTACCCTAATGTATTCCCCATTAAGCAGGAACAGGCCAGCGGCTCGAATGGCTTGAATGGCTCGAATATAAACGAAGAAAGGCCTCGATTTCAGGCTACCTCTATGGTGATCGAATGGGTCAGTAGTAAAAAAGTTATGCCTATTAGCTATGAGTAAAATAACGTACATTTTAAAATGTTATCAGTTCGAGATAGTGGTTATTTGCTCGGGAAAGTCCCATTAAATGTTTATATGTATATGTTTCTTTAAATTTAAACTTAACACAATCTATTCTGTGCTTTGATTTGTCTTTAAATCAAATGGCTAGAATGGCGAATCGATTTCTGAAGTAAGAAATGGAACAGGTCATTTTGAGCCCGTTAGCATGACCTTTAAACTGGTAAGTACGTTAGGAATTATTAACATAAATTGTAAAAATAAACTCCCCTCATAAGGATGATCAAGGAAATATAGAGATCCCCTCAGATGTTTCGTTGCCAGAATGGATAACGGTTAAAGATCAGCATCGGAAACTGGAGCCTCCCCTGGTCTACATATTTAACCATGAGATCATAAAAAATCATGCAGATCGAACCGGAAGCGCAAAGGATGTCGAAAATCTACAAAATACTTTTAATAGACTAAAGTGTCGGGTGGAGGTAGTGGAGAACCCCAAAAAGATTGATGTCACAGAAACAATTAAGAAATGTGCGTATTAATAATCTTTCTTTATTGCGCTTCCGATCTAAATAGAATTTCAAATTTTTCAGTAGAAAACACAAATTTCGATCACCTGTCTGCATTGGTCGTAATCATTCTAAGCCATGGCGGAGGGAACGAAATTATCGTAGCCTGCGATGATGAAAAGTATCACTTGGACAATGACGTGCTTGATCCGATCTGCAAAATCAGGAGCCTGCGAGGCAAGCCTAAAATCCTTATAGTCCAGGCCTGTAAGGGCGGACTGGAGGCGGATGCTAAACCGGAGGAATATGGCCACTACCTCAAGTGTTACAGCACCTCTGAGGGCTACAAGGCCTATCGTGACTCAGTGTATGGAAGTATTTATATACAAGTGCTATGCAAGATCATGGATCAAGATGCGCTTAGAAAGGATTTCCGTGAGATTATCAAAGATGTCAACGAAAAGACCGTAGTTGAGTCTATAAGGCTGCAGTAAATATTTAAAATTATATCTATCAATTTTAAAAACTACTATTTTCCTGTTTTCCAGACACAAGCAAGTACCAAGCACAGAGGGGATACTGCAGCCCTTTTGTTTTGGAGATTATGTGGATTAAAAAAAGGAACAAAGAATAAAATATTTGATTGTAATTGATTGTAAATACCTTCGGAATTTAAGTAAAGTGGCTAACTGATTTACCAAAGACAAGCACATTAGGATTTGAGCCACTTGAAAAGGGTTTCGAGTAGTTCGAATACCATTGTCCTAGCCTTTGGAAAATGTGTGTCCAAGGCTAAATTCGAATCGATATCAATTCGGAGCTCAGACTTCGTCGACCACAGCAGGTGTCCTCACTTTAACATAATACGAGTAGACGACGATCCAGAAATAAATCTCAACGCCTGTAGAGCGGATTAAGTGGATGGATTCTGGCTTGTTAACTATCCCAAACAACTCACATACATACACGGAGCAGACTGGAACAACGGTCATTCGGATCATTGCCTCATTCACCACCAGGACGATGACGTAAATGGTCAGGATAACGGTGTTGGTCAAGCTCGTGATAAGATAGAAGATCAGCAGGACGGTCGCTTTCTACATTCGGTTGAAAATCATGGAATCAACATCGAGTTATCACATGTCCATCACCAAAATTTACCATCAAAGCCCCGCCCAACAGGAAAAAGCATCCGATGCAGTGGCAAATGGCCACCGCCCGCTCGATCTGATTGTTAAAGATGTCTGATAGACGGAGTGGGCATTACTACGCAGGCCTATACCGCACCGGAGACTTACCTGGAATACTGAGTATAGCAATATTGAAGATGAAGTCAATAATGGAGATAACTATGCAGGCCTTGCGCAACTCAATGCAATAGCAGCATTTCCGAAGCATTTTAAGATTTCGATATAAAAAAAAAACTAAAAATAATAAACTGAGTGATAAGGCGCGGCAGAGTCAGGTAACCGAAATTTTTTATATTTACAATCTACATGCGTACAATTTTAAAATAACGGAAAATCTGTAAGGTAGAGGATTTAGATTAGATAAAGAGAGCTCCTCCCAGTGCGGCGTAGAAGGAGTAGGCCACCAGCCAGAAGTATAGGGTAACCGCTAAAAGGTAGACGGGATTGAAGGGAAACCGATCTGGGTATCTGCTTTCATCGAGTGTACTCACGTATCAATAGGGCATAGATGATAATCACCCAAAACCAAATCCTGAGTATAACATCGGCTATGATGAGTATAATAAAGGCCAGGATCTGGATCATGGTCATCAATATGTAGAAGAGCATCCAGCTGCTCCTTAACTGCGGGTAAAGTAAACTTATAACTGTAACATCAAAATTAGTCTGGGAATCTTACGCGAAAACTACCGATGATCAAGAAGACGCAACTTAGAATGTGAATCATGGTGAAAATGATGTACAGACGTTGGCAAGCATCGGGATGGCCTGTAGGTGGAACCAAGGTATTAGTCCAATGCATGGAATACCACTTAATACACTTACCCATCTCTCCGAATAGGGTAACAATCACACCGGTGAGAATGTTAAACAAAATGTGCAATATCCCAACTACAATGGTGCCCATGCGCAGATCCACGCAGCAGCAGCATCGCTGTAGATAAATCATGATGCTGCTCAATCTTACTTTGGTTTCAGGGATATGTTTTTCGGGACAAGTTCGTGTGGGGATAGTTCGTATGTGTATAACTTAGGATTGTTAATGGTTTGACACTAAAAACAAAGCATTTAGGCAACCTGATCTCCAGATTTTAAGGCTAACAAGGCTAAGGCTAACTTCAGGAAACCGAAATTTGTATATCCTTGCAGTTAAGAAATTATTCATAACTCAGTCAAAAATGCATTATTTTTCTATTCGGAAAGCATTTCTGTGTTAGTTTTTTTAAGATTAATAAATCTGCTTACTCAATTTTATATTTTAAGAAACAAATATTTTTGAAAATTTTAACGATGTAACCCCTTATAAAATTTTGAAAAAAAAAATTGAAAAACTAATTTTTCCTTTTAACATGACTAGAAAGAGTCGTCTTTTGTTGCTGATCAATAATATATATGGTTTATAGGGTGGGAAAAGACTTCTTCATGACTAAAATCATAATTGACTAAAATTATAATTGACTAAAATTATAATACCTGAAAAATGGTTCCTTAAATGCCTTTCCGTCTTTTGAATAAAATTATAAGAACCTGCAAAGATTAATAGTCCGGGAAATGTTTAAAAAGGCAAAATTTTAAAATGTTAAATTAAGTATTTAAAAGATCTATAAAGATGGGATCCCACCAAAAAATAGTTAGCATATGGCCAGTCTTTATACCAGTTAATACAAATATTTTCCAGAAGAAGGACTCCAGACTCCATGCTGTCTGCCCCATAATTTTCCCCAAAGAAACTGTAGGTCACCGGTTCCAATGACCGTCCCTGGCCGAACGTGTCAATCGTGTTATATAATAAATTACAGCGTAAACAACGCAATCGGCAATTAAGGCGAATGCTTTTGGCAAATACTTGCCGGCCAAAAGTGGGCCGGGAAGACCCAGTGGACAGAACGTGACGTCGGCCAGGCCCCTCCCTGCCATCTCTGTGTTTGGATTGTTTGCCTTTGCAGTTTTCGTTTTCATCACCCGAATCCGAATGGGAATCCAAATCGGAATCGGTATCCGTTGGTATCGAAAACGAAACCGAAATGGGCACAATGCGCTGGCTAATTGGTATGCATCGCGACGCGCAGGCGCGGATTGAAGAGCTCCGCGTAACGCTATGGGGATCCATCAGAAATATTATGCAAAAGTGGCCCAGGGCCCGGGGGGTTATACAAACGTCTGCCGGCGGATCCATATAAAACGGCAGATTGACCTGTAGCAGTAGCTTCATTCGCAGTCCAACCATCGAAGAAACCAGCATGAAGACGCAGTGTGTCCTCCTCCTTTTGGCCGCCAGCCTGGCCATATGCTTGGCCCGCCCAGAGCCACCGAAATCCCGCTATGGACCACCGCCGCCGCCAGCGCCCCAAAAGGAATACGGCCCACCGGCTCCGGCTCAGCCCTTGCCTGTTTATGGACCACCAGCTGCCTTCTATGGACCACCAGCCGCATCGGAGGCCCTGGTTACCAAGAATGTGTACGTTCATGTGCCGCCAGAGGAGCCGGAATACTACCCGGCCTCTGCCCCCATCCAGACTACGGTGCCCAAGAAGCACTACAAGATCATCTTCATCAAGGCACCCAACCCGCCAACTCCAGTGCGCCAGGTGCTGCCACCGCCGGTTCAGGATGAGCACAAGACTCTGGTCTATGTGCTGGTGAAGAAGCCTGAGGAGCAGCAGCCAGTTATCCTGCCGGCACCCGAGCCAACGGAGCCCAGCAAGCCGGAGGTGTACTTCATCAAGTACAAGCAGCAGCAGGCCAAGCCGGCCAACCAGTACGGCCCACCATCCGCCCCCTCGGAGGAGTACGGAGCACCACCTGCCCCACGCACCCTCGAGCAGTTCTAGTTTGTATTGTCGCTTAGGTCCCCACACAGCCCATGAATGTAAATATTATTTATGATCGCTGCCATTAAAGAGAATTTCTTAGAGAATGCGAAATCAAGTTGGAAGCCGGATCTTAAGTTGGGATTGGGTATTTCCAGGTGGCATCATTACATATTCAGAGGGAATATGGACGTCGTACAGGGAATATAGTCATAATTTCTTGTGATGATTAATAGTGCATTCAGTTGTCACAGCAAAGGGTTGTCCTTTAGAAGCTAAAAGTAAATTTAGCTATCTGAACCAAATAAATTTCTTTTTGTTTTTGATATATTTATACAATCACTTAAATAAGAATAGAAAATATTTGCAATATTTTTTTTAAATTTTATGCTATTTTACCTCAGTTATAATCGATGTTTGATTCGATACCATAATTCTAATGCAATCTGCTAAGGGTATACGAATTTCAGCTTTCCAAAGATAACTATCTTTGGAAAGCTGAAATTCGTATACCTTTTTTACTAAATTTTAAAATCAGTATGTTGATTTATTAAACTTATAAAATCGAATCGTATTAAAAGTAAAGCATTTTGGCTAAGTTATGACTTATTATCTATTATTTTTATACCCTTGCAGGGTATTATAATTTCAGTCAGAAGTTTGCAACGCAGTGAAGGAGACCTTTCCGACCCTATAAACCATATATATTCTTGATCAGCATCAACAGGGGAATCGTTCTAGATATGTCAGGAAGAAATCGATTTTTTGGCCATTTTTGCAAAATTTTATATCATTAAAATTTTTGATTTTGATAAAAAATTTAATTTTCCAAATTTTTAAATGAAGTATGCAGATTTATTAACTGTAGAAAATCTTGAACAAAACAGTTTTCCGATTTAAAATTAATGCTCTTTTGGCCGAGTTATGATATTTTTAATTTAAGAAAAATCAAGAAGTTTTTTAATATAAAAAATCCGATTTTATAATACAAAATAATATTTTTCTAAGTCAAGGAATCATTTCCGACCCCATAAACCATATATATTCTTGATCAGCATTAACATGCGAATCTTTCTAGACATGTCCGGAAGAAATCGATTTTTTGGCCAATTTTGCGAAATCATTAAAATCATTAAAATTAGCAAAAATGACCAAAAATTTTGATTTCTTAAAATTTTAAATTTGGTATGCAGTTTTTTTAAATTAATAAAAACTAACACAAAACTGCTTTCCGAATCGAAATTAATGAATTTTTGGCTTAGTTATGATATTTTTTAATTGTTACCTGCAAGGGTATACAAACTTTGGCTGACCAAAGTTAGCTTTCTTTCTTGTTTAAGTTAAAGTTATATAAAGTTATTAAAGTGGTTATAGGAAAAGTAAAACAATATTTAGAAATACTTTTACTTAAATAAATCAATTCAAACAGTTCTATTAATAAGTCAACTTTAATTTAAAACAAAACAAAAAATATATGATATTAATTAAGAAAAATGAAGAATTATCCTCAACCTTCCTTTAAGCGATCATAGTAGGAGAAGACAACCAGCCAAAAGTACAGACCCACAACTGTAAGAGTATGATTTTACTACAAAATAATAAATAAATTAAGTAAATAAATCTTACTCGATTGAATTAAATCAAAGATAAGATAATTGTTGACAACTCCATCCGTGGCCACAAACACACCCTCGGCGACTAAGATAAAGAAACGGAGGCAGGACACCGAGAGATATGGGAATAGAAAACAGCGCAGCCCCTAAGCAAAAAAAATCAGGTTAACTGGAAAAATCCTCAGAATCCTTAGAACCCATGTTGACTCACCAGCAGAGCTCCAAGAAAAAGGAAAATGCAGCTGATCACATAGGCACCGCTCACGATCAGGGAAATGAATCCCAGTACAGTCTCGCCTTGGAAGAAGGTTTTAGAGTATTTTTAATTCCTTAAAGCAAAACCACCCACTCACGATCCACAAAGAACTGATCAAGGCCACGGATAAGCACCTCAATGATGGCTATCAATATGCAGCCACACTTGAGCTCAATGCAACAACAGAAATTATCCGAGTAGATCATTTTGAATTTTCGTTTTAAAAATTAAATATTTCAAGACTTGTTTAAGATATTTGCAGCCTGGCCAACTGAAAGCCGCATGAATTATGCTAAGCTGACATTCTGATCACGTTTTATGTTTCACCTGATGTGGCAGGCATAATTAATGAGGCTTGGGGCCAATTAAGGTCATTGCCAAGGTATACGCTGACCTATATATCTAAAATAAAACATTATAGTTTGTTATTTTTACAATAAAAATCATGAAATAAGAGTTATTTTCTTATTTGCGAATGAATGAATACACATACACATGCCTTCACATTATGAGCATTAGATATACATTTATTCTTGAATCTAAATAGTTAGGTTAATGTACAAGAACTGAAGCTCTTTGCGTCTTGGCGATAGCGAACTTTGATTGGGAGAATGTTTATATATAGGAGAGTAATAAGCTTAATAATAGTTAAATGCGAGGAGCCTTATTTCTAAGCCCAGTAACTGAAAAGATTATAGTCAGCCTGCAGCGGACTTTTGTCGTCTAAGGAAAGCGTCCGCCGTTGTTGAAATTATTAGGCGATGGGCGACGTATGGGTCGCCGACTGCGGGCTCGTGGTGAGAAGACGCGATTGGTGGATGGCGGCTGATCCCTCTGAACATTGCCCGGCGACGTCTCTCGCTGCCAGACGATGCGCTGCGGACGGTTGGGATTGTTGGAGGGGCCGCCGCGCATCATGGTGCGATTTCCACGACGTGTTGGCACGGCACTGCGCAGAGTGCGGAAACGCGTGTTCTCCGACGGTGAGGTGGCCTCTGCTTCGCGACCCTCCTCCTTGAAAGACAAAAACAAAAATAACAAATTTAATAATGTTAAAAATGGGTTTTAATAATGCTTCCTTACTTCCACGCCCACCGCCTGCTTCTCGCCCTCAGAGGAGACACCGTCTGCGCCCTCGCTGTCCTCGGTGGGATTGCCCTCGGCCGGATTGGACTGGTTATCGGACACCTCAGACTGACTGGTGCCCACATTAGGATCTAAATGGGACAAACAATTAGGTTTTAATTCATTTATTTGAAATATTTGATGTGATCTTACTGTCACTTCCTAGCGGCTGCGAGTCTTCGCCTTGCCCAGAAGCCATTGTTTCCTCGGCGAATGCTTCATCCGCCTCACTGGCTTCCTCAGCACCTCCAGCTTGATCACTCTCACCCGCCGCCGCCTTGCTGGTAGCATCATTACCACTGCTTTCTCCGGCCTCTCCTTGCTTCTGCGGTGAACTGCCAGCGGCAGCGCTGTTATCGCTGGGTCCTGCACTTTCGTCCGGAGCACCCTCCATGGCCACCGCGGTTCCATCGACTTCGGCAGAGTCCAAGCGGGCGGGCTGTTCACTGAAGTTGGAAACTTGCGGCGAGCTGACAATCTCCATGGAGCTGTTAAGATAATTAAAATCAAATTTTCTTTTTTGTTTTTAAAGATTTTTTAGGTTTTAAACCCACCTCTCCGAGCGCCGAGCTGCTGCCGAGGATGTGGAGGCGGCTGCCTGCTTCCAGTTTGAAGCATCAACTTGCGGCAGAGTCACTGGGTTAGAGGACTCTCCACTTCCACTGCTAATGGCCTGGCTCTGGTTATTCTCCTGCCCCGAGGCAGATGCCGCCGAGGTGGGCACTGCCGCCACAGCCTGACTATCGAGCAGCTGGCTCTCTTCCTGAGCCTGCAGTTGCTGTTCGGGAGCCTCCTCAATGTCCACCTCGTTATTGTCCTGGGCATCGGCAGCTATCTCGTTATCATCATCGGCTCCCTCATTGTCATCCATCTCATTGTCCTGCCCGTAGGAATCCTCATACACTTCCTGCTCGGCCTCACCGCCATCAATGGGACCATCGTCGGCATCGGCCAGGACATCCTCTTCATCGTCAGAGTCCACCACCTGGATATCATCTTCCTGATCGCGCTGGGATGAAGTCGGCATCTGATCCACGTCCATGCCCGAGTCGCCAATGTGTCCAGCGGATAGCTCTCCACTGTGCATTGGGCCGCGCAGCCGCTTCGTCATCTTGGGCATCTTTTCGGGCACGCCCTCCTCATTGGTGGTGGAGGAATCACCCTCAACGTCGCGCGGACGCTTAATACCCACCGAGGAGCATCCAGCCTGGGTGGTGGTCACATTGCTGCTGGAAGGGGTATGTCTGCTGTGGCTACTTACCACCGTCGAGGAGCTGCTGCTGCTGCCTGAAGTGCTGGGCTGCTGGCTTTGATTGCCGGCATCCTGCACACTCGGTGCCGTGGCATTCGGTGCGGATGTGGAGCTGGATGACGAAGAGGAACCCTCGACACGTGGTGACACCAGAGCCACCACCTGCTGCTGGGCTCCACCCACAAACAACTGGGCATCATTCTGTTGCGGATGCTGAATGCTTTCCGCCTCCTGGGAACTCTCTGCAGCGGAGGAAGCGCCCATTGGTGGAATGGCAGCCACTGCCACGGCCGCGGAACTGGTCGATGGCATGTAATCGGTGTGCGAGGATGTGGGCGAAGAGGAGGCCATCGATTCAAGGGCAGCGCTGCCAGTGGTGTGCACTTGCTGTTGAGGTGGCACCAGAGCGGTCTGAGCCGCCGCCGAGCTGCCTCCGCTGGCTGCCGCGGATGTGGTGGAAGTCGAGGACGACGAAGAAGATGAGGAGGAAGTGGATGTACTGGAACCAGCCGAGGGCTGTTGACTGGTGGGCAGAATGGCAGCCGTGCGGCTATTCTGTACCGAAATGGGACGGATACTGGCCAGCGGAGTCTCGCCTCCACGCCAGGGAGTCACCGTAGCTGACTGTTGCACCGTGGCTGATCCCGACATGGGCTTCACATTGGCAGTGCGGGGCGAGCTCTCGGAGATATTGCCCTTTTCGGCCACCGAGCTGGTCGATGGCTTGGTGGATTGCTGCGAGCCCAGCTGACGGGTGAGCTGATTGATTCTCATGTGCAACGATTCATTCTCGCGGGTCAGTCGCTGGTTAATCTCCTTATTAGAGGCTATATTCTCCTGCAGCTCCTTCTCCAGGCGGGCAATGGTCTCGTCGTAGGAGGACTTGGTGCCCGCAAATGTGGTCTCTTGGTTGGCCAAATCCGTTCGAGCCACGGTAAGATCCACCACCAGCTTATCCAACTTGGCTTTGTATTCCTGGCGCACAGTATTGGTGTCCATGTCGGATTCGTTGCGCTTCTTTAACTCTTCGTTCTCTTTGGTTATCTTTTCGTGCTCCTCCTTTAAAGCTCTCAGTTGGTTGTTCACCTCTTCCAATTCGCCGCGAATCTTCTCCTGCTCGGCAACGGTCTCCGAGCCACCAGCTTGAGCCTGCAGACCCATGTAAAAGTCTTTATAGCGCTTGGCCAGCTTGCGCAGTTGCAGCTCCTTGGTGTCCTTGTCTGCAATGGTCTTGTCCTTGGTCTCCAGCTCCTCGTTGGCCTTCATAAGCTCTTCCTCCTTCTGCAGCAGGCGGTTCTTCAGCTCCATGATATCTTGCGTCTGGCGTGTGTTGTTCTGCTTAAGGCTGGTGGACTCATCGGCCTGCTTCTTGCGTGCCTCGTCCAGCAGCTGCAGATTCTTGTTCAGCGAGGGAATCTCGGTTTCCAGGCGTTGCTTCAGCAAAGCTAGCTCCTCCTGCTGTCTTTTGCTCAGCTCCTTCTCGGTGGTAAGCATCTTGGCCAGGTGCTCCCGCTCGGCCTGCAGCCTCTTAAACTCCTCTGGATTACGGTTGCTCTTCTCCACCAGGACATTTGCACGCTGCCGCCACTTGATGGCTTCGGTGCGCAGAGAGTTGGTCTCAGCATTAAGCTCTTCGATTTTCGAGGACAGCTCCTTGTTGCTGCACTGCAGCGGGAACAACTCCTTCTCCAGGCTGCTAATGCGATCGGTGAGCTCGGTGACGCGCTGGACCAAGGCATTGCGTTCTTCACGCAAAATACGATTGCTATCGGTGATGGCATTAAGGGTCTCGATCTTGCGCAGCACCTCCTCATGCTTGGTGGCCGACACCACGTCGGTTTGGCTCTTGGCACGCTCTTGATTCAGATAGCCATTCAATTCGTCCATTTTTTTCTGTTGAATGGTGTGCTCCGTGCTCAGGCGTGCGTTTTCCGCCTTGAGAATGTCCAGCTTGGCAGCGAATAGATCCTTTTCCTTGCGCAGGAACTTGATTATCAGAAGCAACTGCTGGTTATTTCTCACCTCCTCGGCACTGTCAAGGGCAGAGGCAGAGGCATTCAGGCTCTGATCAGCATCCATCGCCGACTCATTTAAGGAAGTATTTGGCTCCGAATTTCGACTGGCTAAAGCAGTCATTTTGGAGGTCAAGGCTTCAATTTGATTGTGTAAACTTGCGTTCAGGGCATGCAGATCCGACACACGTTGCTCTGACTCTTCCCTGTCAGCCTTGAGCAGCCTCTGGGCCTCGGCATTCGAGCGCAGGAGCTCGTCATGGGCGGCTTGCAGGGATTCGCGACCAGATTTCAGCTGATTAAGCTCATCTTGCACCTTGAAGAAGTCTGCCTTAAAGCGGGTAAGCTCCTGGATGTCCGCAGAGTGCAAAACCATCTCGTTGGCATACTTCATCTCCACAGCATTAAGGGACTCGGCCAGAGAGGAGTTTTCCGTACGCAAAGTGGCAATGGTGTGGCCCGACTCCGTGAGCTTCTCCAAGGCCCTCTTTAACTCGTCTTGAGTTATCTTCAGCTGATCTGACTGGTTGGTGGTCTTGCTCTGCTCTGTGACATTGGCCAGCATCGACTCCGCCTCAAGAACAGTGATGCGGGTCTTCAGCTCCTCCTCGGCGGCTCTCAGCTTCTTGATCTCTGCCTCCTGACTGGCCACCAGCTCGGTATGGATATCATGCAGGCGCTTGATCTCGCTCTCAGCGGTTTGCGACATCTTGAAGAACTGCTCGCCATGCTCACGAGCCTTGGCCAGCTCCTTGGTAAGCGATTCAATCTCCACCGATGCCTGGTCAAACTTCAGCTCGAATTCCCTGGCACGTTTGTTGGCCAATGCAATGGGATTTTCGTTCAGGGATGGTGTAAGACTTTCCTGTAGCTTCTTGCTCAATTCATTCACCTGGCTCTCCTTCTTGGCGAGCTCTTCGCGAAGGCTTAGCAACTCGGCATGCCACTTCTCGGCCAGCTGCTTCTCCTCCTCCTTCAGCTTGATGGCCGTGTCTGTTTGTCGCTTGAAATCGTTAATGGTTTCGCGGAACTTCTCCTCCTTCTCTTGGAAGTGGCGACGTTGGGCAGCCAGCTCTCTAACACTGTCATCCAAACGCTGTTCCAAACGCTGGCGACCCTCCATCTCGGATCGCTCCAGATTGGCCTTGATGAACTCCAGATTGTTCAAGAGAAGCGACTGGCTCTGGTGCTCACGGTGGTAGGCCTCCTTTTCGATTTGCAAGCGCGACAAAGTGTCCTTGAGGATGCGGGTCTCTTGGCGCAGGCTATGAGCCTCTGAATCGGCAGCAGCATGCTTGCGATGAGCGGCCATTACCTCATCCTTTAGCATCAGCACCGTCTGCTCATGCTTTATAATGGTCTTTTCGTAGTTCTTGGTGCGTTCCTCTAGAGTGGTCACCTGCTGCTTGTAGGTCATAATGTTTTTGTGCAGCAACTCAATCTGCTCCTTCTGGAATTCAGTGGCATTCATCAGCTTGCAGTTGGCACTGGTCAGCTCTCGCACCTCCTTGCGCATGGAATCGAATTGCTCCTGGGCCAATGCATCGTTCTTGCGCTTCTCGCTGGTGTAGTAGTCGTAGTTCTCCTTCAGCGCAGCATACTTCTTGGTCTCGTCCTCCAGCCGTTGCTCCAAAGAGCGCACAACCCGCTCCAGCTTGCCTTCCTCTTCTTGTTGGGCTGCGGATTTCGTTGATGTCTCAAACGGTAATGATTCATCGAGATCCAGGCCGGAATTGTCCAGGTCCACGGCCTTCTTGCCTAGCTTTTTCTGGGCTGAAAAGTAAAACTTCTTGTAGCGCTCACATTTGGCGAGCAGCGTGGTGATAGTATTGTTCTTCTGGGCCAGCACCTCCTCCAGCCCGGCAAAGCGCTCGTTGACCTTCTTCAGGTTCTCCTCACTCTGCTGCAGCTTGAGCTTGTCATTTTCCTTCTCGTGTTCTTCTAGCACTGCTGTAAGTTCCCTGGTTATGGCCAACAATTTCACATTGTTCTCCTGCAGCTCCTGAATGGACTCAAAGGTTACCAGCTCAGTCGTGATCAGGTTATCGGTGGTAATTTCCATTCGTTCGTCGCGCTCTGACCTGTGGCGTATGCGAGGCACTCCGGACCGCAAGCAGTTCAGTTCATCTAGGAGCATGCATACCTGGCGGCTAAGATCGCTGTGCGTCTGCTTTAGCTTTTTGGCCTCCTTCTGGCAATGAGTCAGGCTAAAGGTAGTCCTCTCCAGCTCATGCTCGAGGGAGAGATTCCGCTCGGCCAACTGGTTGCGTTCCTCGGTGAGCAGAGCATGCGCCTCTGTCAGCTTTTGGTGGTCGCTTCCCTGTTTTTGCACCAAAGGAGCGCTCTCGCTGACCTCCTCCAGAATGGACTTAATTTGCAGGATCAACTGTGCATTCTCGCGGTTACGCACCTCCAGTTCTTCGCTGGTCTTGGCATACATCGAGTACAGTTCGGTCAGAGACAGATCGGAGCGCATAAGGCGACTGGCCACGGCAGCACTGGGTGCCAACTGGCAAATGGCGCTCTCCAGGGTGCGTTCCTGGGCTTCCTTCAGCAGCTCGTTTGCGTCGGCAATCTCCCTCTTCAAATCGCCAATCTTCTTATTCATTTCGTCCATCTCGACAGCATGCTCCTGCCTAATAGCCACATTTTGCGCCTCCAGCTGGGCGTATTCTTCCTGCGCGGTATTTATCATACGCTTCATTTCCGCAATGCCTCGCATAAGCTCATCGCGTTCGATCGCGGCGTTTTTCTCGGAGGTCTTACAGAGTTCGATTAGCTTCTCCTTAGCATCGGATTCTGCCACCAAGTTCTGCACATGGGTCTCTATGTCCTGGTTGTGCTTATAGACGTTGTCATTTATGTCCTCGATCTTTGCCTTTAGCCCTTCGATGACTTTTACATTATCGTCGTTTTGGTTCTGCAGAAGCTGCAGGGCGTCGCTCTTCTCCTTGAGACGAGTCTCCAGCTGCATGGTGGTCAGCGAGTGTTCGCGGCGGATGTTCTGCAGCTCAGCGTTGCTGCGGTTGAGATCGCTGCTGAGTAGCTGGATCTCTTGCTGCTGCATGGTACGTTCGTTCTCGTAGTGGCGCTCCTTGATCTCTAAAGCCATCTCCTTGCTCTGAATCTCGTCCACACGGGCGATTGCCTCGCACTTGGCCATGATGGCGCTGTTTAACTGCTGCTGGTAGTTGTGCAGGTCCAGTTTCAAACGATCCATCTCAGCCTGCTGACGCTCGATCACCCGCATCAGCGAGTCACGTTCTTCGATCGCCGTGGTCTTCTCGCTTCGCAGGCTAGTCAGGCTCTGCTCGCAACTGTTTACGGTCTCTTGGAGCTGGGCCCGTTCGGCGACCACTTGGTCCAGTTGCGTGCGCAGCTCTAATACATTCTGTTCAAAGTTTTTGAATTTAACCAGATAGTCCTCCATTTCGGCTGTGAGTTGCTCGCTCTTTTTCTCAGCTTCCTCTGCCGAATAAAGGAATTTTTATTATCATTATTTATTATTTTTAAAAATGTTATATTATTCTTTTTATATAAAACTGCATTTTTGATGATAGAAATTAATAGCTTGCTAATATATTGATTTTAGTTAGGGAAATTAAACCAAAAAAATTAAAAACAAATTTGGCGGCTATTTGAGAAATGGCACTTCCAGTGTGACCACACCGGCGGCGGACATTTGCGAAATTGCAGCGGCCATTGCTGAAATGTGCAACAAGCCAGACAATACAAAAAATGCCTCCATTCAAGCCATGAAAATATGCAAATTCGCTTTTGGTACGCCAGCTTTAATGCTGATTCCGTGCACCACAGCTTAGACACGAGTATTCGTGTTTGTGCAGGCTTTAAGCAGCGGAAAATTGAGACGCCAAGGGGGCCGGCAACTAAAGAAAACGTTAGCACGGGCCTCTTTAGGGCTTCAATGCGTATAATAAATATATGTATTCATTCGTATGTCCTGACTTTGTAGTTGTGTATTTTATTATTACTTACCCAGCCGATGGGCGGCCGCCCTCTCCTTGCAATACTCATCTGAAAATTGTTCAATGTACGCAGACAGCTTCTTTTGGATGTCTTCCGGCACGAGTTTCAGCTCGTCGGGCTGGAGAATGTTGCCCAGGGATTGTGGACCGCTGAGATCCATGTTTGTGGGTTAACTCTCGTCAATCAGTGGTCCAATTTACGGTGTGCGACAGGGTAGAATGGTTAAAACTCTTCACTTTTTGGGCAACTCGCGGACATTTACCACAATTACGAGACGCGAAAAAAAGTTGGACGGTAGAGATGGGAAACCGTCGACGGCCGGCACTATCGATTACTCTTTGCGATAGTGCAAAATTTGAAACATATTCCTGGCATCGCGACCATAATGTCCGACTATCTGGCAACTCTGCACCTTTGTTATTGTGCGTGCACGTGCGTGGTTTTGCTCGATCCCAAACTAAAAGATTCCAGCGATTGCATCTTTAAAGTTTAAACAATGCCCGCCGCCCCCGCCGCCACCAGCAATGGCAGGCCCACAGAGCCGCACAAGTCGTGGAAAAAGGTAAACGAGGAGCGCAAGGCACTGAAGCGGCAGCGCAAGCAGGAGAAACTTCTCAAGGAGCTGCAGCAGGCCAAGGAGGCGGAGGAACGCATTGCGGAAGACGCCAGTAAACCGCAGTCGAAGGCGAATCCCAATCCATCCACGCTGAGCATTGCCGTGCCTGGATCCATTCTGGAGAATGCCCAATCCAACGAACTGCGCGCCTACGTTGCCGGCCAAATAGCCCGTGCTGCCTGCATCTTCCGGGTCAACGAGGTGATCGTCTTTGACGACGTGGGCATTGCCACCGCCCGCGAGACAAAGCGTAGCTACGAACCCGAGGCGGAGGGCAGTAGCACAGGTACGGTACGCAGCAGTTCCCTGCAGTTGGCCCGCATCCTGCAGTATTTGGAGTGTCCGCAGTACCTGCGCAAGTACTTCTTTCCGCTGCACAAGGACCTCAAGTACTCCGGACTGCTGAATCCTCTGGACACTCCGCACCATCTCCGACAGCAGAGCAAGTTCAGGTACCGCGAGGGTGTCATCGTGGACAAGAAGGCGAAGGAGGGGCAGAGCTATGCGAACGTGGGCTTGCTTAACGACGTGCTGGTGGACAAGGCCATTGAGCCGGGTGTGAGAGTGACCGTGAGAATGGATCCTGCCAGTGGTAAAATATAAAATGGGATTCTTTTTAAATCTTAAAATTATAGTCACAAATCCTTTATTTCTAGAGACCAGCAGAAAGCAGCGTGGAACCCTCGTCAGTCCGGATGAGCCGCGTCGCGAGACAGGTGTCTATTGGGGCTACCAGGTGCGCATTGCCCACTCACTCTCGGAGATCTTCACAAAGTCCCCGTACGACTCCGGTTACGATGTGACGCTGGGAACGTCGGATCGGGGAACCAGCATTCATGAGGTGCCCAGCCGATCCTATAACTACAAACACATGCTTATGGTCTTTGGTGGACTGCAAGGTCTTGAATCTGCTTTGGCCAATGACGAGAAGCTGACTGTGGACGATCCAGAGCTGCTGTTCGATCACTATGTCAATGTTCTGCCCCGCCAAGGGTCGAGGACTATACGCACAGAGGAGGCCTTGCTGATAGCTCTGGCGGCGCTGCAGGAGAAGCTGCAGCCGGAGGTGGCCGATGTGGAAACGGATCTGAGCGATCTGTTGCCCAAGAGCGAGGACACTGGCGTACATGTGCGCCGAGATGTTTTGGTTAGCAAAAAGCAAAAGAAACGAAAGCTGGTTGAGGAGGAAATTCCAGAGACTCCAGCTGCTACTGAGACACCTGCTCCAAAACCAGCGCCCAAGATAGCTCGTCAGACGGCTAACCCTTTCTCGGATCCATCGGAGATCTCGGAAAAAACAGCCCCCGCGGATATTGATGATGACTTTGAGGTGGTTTCCTCCAGCCTAGTACCTGGAACGAAGAAGCTTTCGGGGTCAGATGACGACTTGAGCAGATTCGATTAAATGGAATAGTTTGACTTTTATTTTTGTAAATATACAGATCCATATGTGTGTTGCATAAAGTGGTTTCTTTTTGATTCTATTACACAAGCCGACAAAATTTTCAAAAATTGCAAAACCAAGAACTGTTCTTGGTTCCAAAAACCTGTCGACCTGTGTTATTGTTGTTTTTCCCACTAGGTTTATATATTTATCCTATATAATGTACTTTGTTGCTGGCATAACTACCTGTAATTTGGATATTGACATCAACGTGTGTTGTTCGAAATCATTTTTGCTCTAATAACTGTCTACTTACGCACTAAGTTAATACGTTTTAAAATTTCCAACGCGAATGTCAAAGCAAATTTTAGGGTTTATCCTCCGACAGACAAATTTGTTCTTCCGCTATATATCTTACATACTCTTTGATTGCTTAAACATAATGACCTATGTATGTAGTTTGTCCCTATAGGATGGACGCCCGCTTATTTACACACTTGAATATGAACATGAAGAATGCCGGAAAAGAAAGCTGTTTCGCAATCTCTAAATGTAGTATGTTGCCACATTGTCGCTGGTCATGATTAGCTATGGAATCGAGTCCTGGAATCGCGGTTCTGGCAGGAAGTCCTCCTCCAGCTCGATGCGCGTGTCGCTGTGATAACCCAACAGGGATTCGGTGTCCTCCTCCAGGTGACGAATGGGATAGCTAATGCCATCGCCGAAGCTATGTTCGATCAGGATAAATATTTAAATGTAAGTGTAACAGATCAGGTGATCAGAGTGGGGATAATGATGAATTATATGACTCGGTGCAGTGCAAAAGCAGTTGAAGTTGAAGTTGTTTCTTTCTTTTTCTTGGCAAATTAAAAACAAACCTTTGTTGCTGCTCTCGAAATATAGTTTCACATCCTTCAGTTCAAAGTTATATTTATATATAATGTATTTAGGTATAATTAGGGTTACAAAAGAATCAAACATCATATCAAAAGGTATAAAAATCAAATAGCAAAAACAGTAACTACCTAAACTACAAATTAATTAAAAGCAAACTGAGAAATGATCAAGTTTCTTGTGTGATTTGTGTTCTAAAATCTCCTAGCTTATGAAATAGTAGAAGCTCTGGAGATGGTTAGATATCTACAAGTAAAGACCTTATAATAACAAGATGAGTAAATTCAGTCTCTAAAAATTTGCAAATTTTATGATATCGAGAAAGGTTTCACATATATGGGCGTTATCCATCTTGTTATTACAAGGTCTTTGCTACAAAGGTTCGTGTGTGTGTGTTCAATGAATGAATTAACAAGTTACAAATCTCTCAACGTGATAACCATCTTAACTACCGGATTTCTCCCCATATTGCCAAGTAGTATTTGCCTTCATTTAATTTCAATTACAAAATTCGATTGATTGAAACAACGGTAAATGCTTGAATATAAATACATATGTATAAAAAACCTACGGCTAAGCTTACTCAAATGTGGCTATCGATAGTGGTGCTTGTGTGTGTGTTTTTGTGGTCCCAGCCATTAAAAATAGCCCAAGTTGTACAGTTGATGAATCGCTTCTGGAGGTAACACTTATTGGCCTACTACAAACTGCACAATGCTCTCAAATCTCTGGCAGTTTACTCGGATATATAGTACATCTACATTCTAAGGAAACGGGGATTTAATTAGCAAAACTCAAACTGGCAGATCGCCGTTGGGCGGGCGCGTTGAGTTCTTGACAGGTTCGGCTTCTGTCCGGGCATGATCCCCGACCATTTCGATGAACACGGCTCCCTCCTGACTAGACCTGGCTGCTGCTGTGATGCGGCCGCCTGCCGCCAGATCCGGTTGCTCGTCCAGCTGCTGGTCGCTGTTGCTTCTTACTTGATGAGTCGATTGGTGGTGGTGGTGGTTTTGGTGGTTAGTGGAGTCGAAGGGAATAGCGTCAATTAACTTATCTGTCGGGTTGCCATCTAACCTGCTGGACGCCGTCTCCCCCATGGCATCGTACCGCTGGACGGGCGAAGCAACCGCTGTGGTGGTGGCTGATGCCCGACTCTGGTCACTGGATGTTGGAAAGCTGTAGCCATCACCGCGACTAATTCCATATGGTTGTGAATAAGCAGAAGGTGGGGAGGGGTATTTGCGTTAAACAAAGAGTTTTAAACAGAAATATTTGTTTTGTTTGTTTGTTTGTTAGGTTTCGTTTTTAGATTTTTGCACTTTATACAGTTTAGCTTGTTGTAATTGTAGCTGTTGTTTGTTTATTTGTTTTGCTGGTTGTTATATAATTTTGCACAAAATATGTGGAGACAAATATGGAATCAACGGATCATGTGTGGCAGTGTTCAGGTTTTTAGTTAAGCTGAGTAGTAGTAGGTCTACGGCTATCAAGCGACCTTTGGCCTTTTAATATTAGTCACTTAATCCCGGAAACAAGTTAAAACTGAGCTTTAACTTTAGGTTAAATAGTATTTCATATGGCTTCTCTGGTTTATTCATTTTATTTACAAACAGAAAGAACAAAAGTAAGGGAAATGAAGTGATAATTTCGATTTGGCTTAAAGCTAAGTTACAAATGTCACAAAATGAGTTCGACAACTTTGGTTCGTTGCTTTCCGCTCTCAGTTCTTGGGGACATACAGAGTTATTTGGTTTTTCTCTTATATAAATTATAAGGTTTGATTAATCTAAATTTAGTGCCTTTTCAGCTGATTTCACACAGAGCACACATCAAGAATTGAATAAAGGTGCCTAACTACTAAGCATGAACCTTCAAAGCATGCCTTTAATTTGCCAAATTGAACATAAAGAAAGCCAAAATCAAAAATAAATAAAACAAAAGCGCACAAGAACAACAACTAAAAAGTGTGTGAGAGAGAGTGAGAGAGTTTCTAGTGCAGCTCGGATTAGTAATTGTAATGGGAATGTGAGAATGCCAACGATTTACGTAGGTGTGGAGTTACATGATCGTGACATACCTGGAGAAGACTGGCAGCAACCAGTACTGCCAGTCGTCGCCGAACACCTCGCAGAAATTGGCGAATCGTCCCAGATTATAGCCATTCTTGTCGGGGCCGCCAACGCGAAAGATGGGAGCACGAAACGACTCTAAATGGGGAAATAAACAACAAATGTCACAATTCACATTCGACACTATTTAGCTTTTGTTACTCACCCAACGTTGTGCGGTTGACAAGCACCAGGTAGATGTGGTAGCCAAACAAACTCACCAAACTAATGGCAAACATAATGGCAATGAAAAACAGGAACAAGATGTGAAAGCGTCCCATTCCGCCGCTGTTCAACTGGCCCTGTGCATTATTTTCGTACTTGGATCATTAGGTACAAGTACAATTTAAGATAAACATTTATATTAACTACTATTTATGCATGCATATAAAGAGTATAAGGTAGAACGATCGGAAACTTACGGCACCTACCTTCCAGAACTGCACAAAGTCGTGCAGCGTGGTGAAGGCCACGTACAGGCAGTAGACGAGGGCATAGCCCAGGAAAAGCACAAAGAACTTGTAATTGTAAAAGTTTACGCAATTGTTAACCCAGGGGCAGTGGTGGTCCATCTTGAGCACACAACAGCTGCAGACGCTGCAGTGATGGGCCCGGTCAGGCTTGACGATTTTGCATTTCTCACAGAACCGCACGGAACCGTTCATGGTGCTGGAAAGTTAAACATTATTAAATATAAAATGATATGTAAGGTTTATGTTCACAAAGATATCAGTTTTAGCTTAAACCCTTGTTTTTCAAAGGAAATATCAATCGATTTTAACTGATAATAGGTTAGTTTCAAGATAACACGGCTTTCTAAGGCGAAAACAGTTTTTCTAATTGTGTTTTTATCTCTAAAAGTTATTACCAAATTACAGAATGTTATCAAATGTACATAACCTTTTCATAATCGTTACTTTACAAAAAATTCGTAATAATAACTCGAATGGACTTTCTAATATATCATTGTTTTTTGATACCTTATCAGCTGTACTCTTTACGACTCCTTACCGATTTGTGACTGGCAGATTGCGTGCAAAGTTATTAAGAATGCGTTTCTGGGTCTCGGGGCTATCGGCCCTAAAGAGTCGCGTCACTTCCTCGTCCGGAATCCGCCACTGGCAAAAGATAAACAAAGGTCTCAGCATGGTATTTCTCAACATTAAGTGACTCACTCACCTGCTCGGGAATTTGGCCCACGGAGGTCATGATAGTCCGCCAGTAGGACCACATAAACAGGGTCAGGGAAATGTGGTAGAAAAGCAGCATAAAGACCATGCCAATTCCATTCTCAGAGTTGCCTGCCATTAGAAAAATTATCAATGATTACAAAAAGTTCCTGATAAAAGAAGAGTGCGCTCTTACGGATGCACAGCTCCACCACGTAGGCGTAGTAGGACCAGGCTATCACCGCAGTGATGAACAGCACCGGGATCCATTTGAAAACCGACATGCAGAAGCCGCAGGGTGTCTTCCTCCGTCGGTGGTCGTCGTTGCCCATGCTATTTATGTGGCCTATCGAATCGAGGATGACACGAGGGTCTTCTTGCGTGGGTGTGACCTCCAGCAGCTGGAGGGGATTGCTTTTTGGAACGCTGGGTGACGCTGCTATTGTGGCTGCCCCTCCTCTCCCTCTTCCAAAGATACGAACGAAACACGATCCGTCAGAGAGCTCTTTATCTGCAAGTGATTCACTGACTCCGCGAGGCGAAATTGACGAAAACTGGTCGCTGTCGCTGTCCGATAGCTTCTTCTCCTCGTTGGGCAGGCAGGTGTACGGTCAACACCTTAGCGCAGGGCCATTTTTGTCATTGTTTTAATCACTTTTTGGGCCCTTCGCCTATTTTGCATAGCCTGCTGGAGATGGGAAAACTTCGATTCTACTAGAGTAGACACTCTATCGATACCATCTATGTTTTTAATCGATACGTATATTTTTAAAATTTCCGCAGTCTGGCAACTTTTACGCATATGCAACAATTATTAGTAAGATGTGGCAAGGCCAAAAAGGTGGAAGCTTTTTTAAGCTTTTCCATTTTTAGATAAGCCAGATCTAGCCTGAAATATGCTAAATTGCCAACACTGCAAAATTCGGCCGCAGTGATGTCATTCCCGCTTTTTTCCCGTCAAATTCAGCTTTTGTCATTATTCAAATTTTGAAATAAAAGATTTTTGTCAATTTTGACAAAATTTAAAAAGGAAAAAAACAAACAAAAAATTGTTTTCCAAAAATCCGCTTATTTCTTAGCTTTTTTCCCCTGGAAGTCGGATTTTTTAGCTGTTTATTTTTGGTTATCCAGCTTTTTTACTCTGAAAAAAATGACATCACTGTTCGGCCGCTGAATAAACCTATAAATACAGGTGCGGGAACTGAAATTTCGAAGTCGAAATTGAAAAATCGGGCAGCACAGACGACGGAATCGAAATATAGTGGCTCTATATTTTCGATTTTTCACCGTTCACACTTGTTTACGTTTGCCATTAAAAATTTTCAAAAAAAAAATTAACAACTAAAAACGGTAAAGCGCCGGGTGGAAATTGGATACGTGTGCCGTTGTGCGTCGGATCGGCGGATTATGTGCGTTTTCTGAGCGATTCTACACCAAAAATGTAATTGCAGCGAAAAGAAAAAACCGAAAAAAGCGTGCTCGCCAATTAACTCCAGCGCACACCGCCCCCGCCTCCCCCACTACTCCCAATAAGATTGTGCAAGTGTATGTAAAATGTGAGAGAGCAAGCAAGCAAAAAAACAACAAAAAAGCTTCACTACGTGCGCGTAATAAAAAAAAACGAGGCCGAAATGCACGAGGAGGCGGTGGGCGGCGGCGGGTGGTTGGCAGCGGGGGAGGTGTAGGTGGAGGTGGCACCCCCCCACTGCCCCGAAAATACCTTATACACATACATACGAAAATCTACCTATCTGCTGGCGGCCGTGTGGTTGTTGCTGTTACTTGTGGCTGTTACTGTTGTTTTTGTTGTTGGCCAGGTTTATTTTTTTTCGGTGGGGGACAATCAATAAACACGAAAGCTGCGTGCGAAAAGAGAGCGGTGCAGACAGACAGAGAGAGAGCGCGAGAGATTATAATTTGTGCGCATATGATTCAAATGCCGGTTTTGAGCGCAGCTTTTCGAGCCAAACACTCATTAAACAAGTGCAGCGATCACCTTGCCTTAATCACTTTCCCTAATCAGTGTTATTTACCTAATTAGCCAGATCAAATCTCAATTGAAATCAAGTGTAATTAACACCTGCGGACGGCAAGCGGCAAGTGCAATTGCAATGCGTGCGTGTGTGTGTGGGTGTGTTTTGAGTTATCGACTTCTATCGATATTGAATGGCCAATTGGAAATTGGGTCAGGGGCGACCAGATGCCAATCAGAATTCGCATTTGTTATTGCAAACAAAAAGCGAACACCGAGCCCAAAACAATTTCTGTTGCAGTGTAGGAGTTACCATAAAAGCAACAAATACAGCATGCATATGTAAATACCTCAATGAATTGCGCTGGCTGAAAATAAATATACAAATGCCGAGCGAGATGTTTATTTAAGCGAAAAATTATTTTGTGCACGCACACATGCACAAACAACAGACAGTCAGAGGCGGACAATTAATTAAACAATTATATTCGGGTGAAATTTAGAGTTTAAACAAACCCGAAACAGATAGAGAAACATGCATAAATCATTGATAAACATGCGCTGTGCACAATTCCAATTAGCTTAATTACAGAGCTGCCAGCTTTGCTTTTACTTTTTTGTACCCCATTTCTTATTGGAATGTGAATAATAGCTTTAAAAGTTGAAAAGAGGGATAAATTTAGTAATAAAGAATTGTTTTTAATGAATAGAAAAACACACGTTCTTAGGAAAAATATATAAAGTATTTAAAAGATTTAAGGCTTGTTTAAATTAAAATATATTTAAAGTTTTTCGAGCAGCAAAAATCAAAGCCTTTGGAAAAAATCATTAAAATCCCAGCAAATACGTTTATTTCAATCAAAATTTCATAAAAACTCTCTGCTTTCGAAACATCAAAGTCAAATGCTGCATACTCACACGCACACACACAACAGCTACAGGAGCAACAGCCACCGCCATAAGCCACACCACACCCCCCTGAAGAATAAAGAATATTAAAAGCTAACGAAACAACACATCAGCGAAAGTAACAAATTAAATTTGGTTTTTAGCCATAAAAAGCAAACAAGAAGTGAAGACAGGAACCAGCTAAGAGCAGCGGAGAGACGAAGGAGGCCAAAGAGGAGCAGCAGCAGGTGAAACCAGGTGGACGCAGGAGATTCACCCGCCTAGAAAGCATCATCATCATCATTATCATCATCAACCTCGTCAGCAGGTGACAGCGAAACACATAAAAAAGTCAGGTGAGCTACCAAACTGCCATTTCTCAACGTCCAATTCCATTTCGATTTTTCATACCCATTTCGATTTCCACCTTGATTTCGATTCCGTTTCGATTTCTGTTTGTCTCCCGGTGCGATTAAATATTTCACGCGCTTATCAATTGCTCAAGGGTTCGCAATTCGCATTGCTTGATAAACACAAATGCCGTGGAAGAACACAGCTAAAAAAGCAAACACAAATTGAATAAGCCACCAGCGACAGTTGACTGCCTAAGCAGGTGAGACAGAGAGACAGAGAGGGAAAGAGCTCAGGTGAGCGGCCAGGTGGAGTGTGCTGATACGGGCGCTATGGAATCCAAATAGATATTCATAAATAAACCAACGAGAGCCATTGTAAGGTAGAGGAACGTTCTTGTGCAACAATTCAAGTTGCTAGAAAACAAATTTTAAATGAACCAGTACCAGGGTGTAGAGAAAAGTTGGGGTTAAAAAGATTATTTGGGTTATTCGTGCTAACAATTTTAAAGGATAACTTCTAGGGATCAGAGATTAATAGGAAAGTTTCTAAAGGTTCCAGAGAAACCAAATATGATTAGGAAAATAGTAAGTGAATTTCTCTTTTATATATTCTTATTTTTATTCAATTTTTTGGAGACATTTAAAACATTTTCAAATAAAATCTCTAATCCTTAGTTACACCTAAGGCTTTATTTGATTTAAAACATTTATATATCCAAGTATATCCTCCGCTCTTTCGCCATAATCCAACTACTTGTCTTCTTTTAGCCAAATCCTCTTTTCTCTTTTCGGCAAACAAAATCCAGATAACGAATTCTACCTCCGCCCAAACCTCCGATTGAGGCTGTGTATTTGTAATTAATTCCATTTTGTATACTTGGCATTTTGGCAAAAACGAGCGAGAGCGAAAGAGAGAACGAGAGAAATGGACAAGTTGAAGCCAAAAAACCTGGCAATACAGTTGGACAACTGCTCACGAAAGACAACCAGAGCGCCATCCATCAACAGCAAAACACACAATTTCCAAGCCAAATTCAATTCCAAGTTAAGAGGGTGACTTCAATGCGTATTCGATTCAATAGCCCGAGGCCATGCCACCGCCACTCGACCTCGTGCCTCAGCCCTAGCTCCATTCCTCGCCCATAAAACTCGGCCCATACCCACCCCGCTCCCTCTTTCACATTGTCGTAGGACGACAGCAGATTCCTGTCATGTCCTCACGTTTCCTGGACCCGTGGAGCTTATGGCCCGGCTTAGTTTCAGCTGGGATTCTTCGTTTATTGATTGATTTTTCCCGCATAATGGCCCGTTCAGTAGGTAAAAGCGGCGGGGAATAAAAAGTCATCAATAATATTTTCTCGAACCCTAGAGGGAGGCGGGGGATATGTGCGCTCTAAAAATACAAACAAATTTTTAGTGGCCTTTCCTCTCTCAAACAAAAAAAGAAAACTAATGAAAAAGTTGCAACTTTTTGGTTGGAAGCAACGACGACTACGACGGCAACGGCTTTAAGGCATTTTTATTGACAAGCGCCCTTTCATGTCGACGGTCCTGTTGTTCCTCCCATTTTTTGGTTTCTTTCATTTTTGGTATCCTGAACCTGGAATTGACAAGGGTGAACCCAGCAGCGGCACGTGAAAAACTCATCATAAAAAAGCGAAGGGACAAAGGCACAGAATAACGCTTCTTTATTGTCTTTCTTCTCCCCTTTATATTTGTTGGTTTTTTTTTTTATTTTTTGTTTTGTATTTTATTCCCTGCGATACACATCTTTTATTGTGCGCTCTGGCTTCTCCTTTATGCCAAACAATTGGCTGGGAAAATTGTTTTTCAATTTCTGATTCGCAATTAATTTTGCAGTCCGAAAATAGAACGCATCGCATAAACAACAGAGCTGGAAACACGGCGTATGCGCAATATACATACGTTGCGTATACGTATTTGGTTTCGTTTCGCACCTGGCCTGGCCCCAGAGAAAAACATGGAAATCAACTTTAGAACTTTCCACCGAAATTAAGTTGGCATTATTAATTAAGTTTAAAGTTTAATTCAACAGATAATGCCCAAAGGCAGGGCCTGGCAACTGACGTCAACAGAAAACTTGGACGGACGGATGTTGATAAATTATGTGTAAATACGAAATTACCATTCGCATTCGTACTCTTTTTGCAGATTGCAAAAAATAAAAACTGGGTCTAAAGTGAGTCACACTCGAGTCAACGAAAAGTTATGGCGCAGCGCATAATTTGCGTCTTCTCCTATAAAAAAGTGGCCAACAACATTTTTCGGGGGCTGCCTGAATAAATAATAAATAATCATAATTTGCCCCGCTCTCCACTCCACTCCCCTTCACTCCACTCTCTACTTCCCCCATTTCAATCAAAGCGAAAAGCAAAAAGCGAAATGAAAAGAAATATTCACACAGCGAAAATTTAATTGTTTGGCCAAAAGGAAAGGCAAGAAGAAACGAACGCAACGCCACGAAAACGGCCAATAAAAGCCACGACCTTCGTCCGAGAAAGAGCGAACAAAAATAAAAAAAAAATATCAAGAAAAAATCCACCCCCTGTCGCCCTCTTATATATATTGTATATGAGCTCAAGGGGGGAATCCAGATTTCTATTCAGATTCCGGAGGGGGCAGCTCTTCAATAATTCGCATTTCTTTTTTATGTCGGGAGACGCAATTTTCGTTCCAGCAATTAGAGTGAGAAAATCGATACGAGACAGCCGCAGAAATTAGACACATTATTAGCACATAATTTTCGTTGGTTTTCTTTTTTGGAAAATTAATGGACTCGCTGATTGCTTTCTTTTTACATTCTGTTACATTTTCACGTTCATTACAGTTGAAATTTACTGCTTTTTTACAAGTCTGTTGAAAGGCATAAGACATGAGCTTAAAGAGAAGTGTTTTAGCAAATTAAATGGTTTTCGTTGCTTGTTATTTTATTTAAAATTTTATGTAGAATGCACTTTTAAAGAGTTTTTAGGTTTTTAGTCAAAACTCTGCCATAACTTTTTCTATTTTTCTTTTTTCACAACCTATATTCCACCAAAGTTTGTTAACTTCTGCAGCTTCTGAATATCTCTTATATATTATATATCCTTTTTTTATTTTAAAATCCTGCATTTCCCAAACAATCGAATTTATTTGTCAACTTCTGGGGGCTCTCTTGTGTGCCAAGTGGGATTTACTTGTCGTGTTTACAGGAAGCTCTTCCCATATTCCAGCTTCATTTTCTTAGCTCATTTGATTACACAAACTTGGCGAAGTTTTCCCCGAGTTTTCCCAGTTTCCTCAGCTTCTCCTCGGTTTTCTCAGCCTTCTCAGCTTTCTTTTTGTTGCCGGCTAAGACCTTTTCGAACTAATTAGAAGGGCAACCGCAACGCATTTGGCTTTGATGGGATGGCGGGGACAAAGTTTCCATTGGCTTTTCCTACGCTTCTGATGCCAGAACGTTTGTCCCCCTGGAAACTTATCTTGATTAAGTTTTATTTTTCTGCCATATAGTATATATAGTATATATGTATGTATATTGAATAAGCGATAAACTTGCAGGGCGGCGAGATAAGCTGCCGCGGCGCACGTGAGGGAAAAAACTATTATTAGTTGGCGGAGTTCAAAAAATAGATTAAGTATGCGCCCTGTCAGCCAATTAACTTGCAATCTGCTCGAGGCCTTAGACCATTATGTTGTGCTGTTCCGATTTCTGACTCGGTACTCGGTTTCGATTTCGATTTTCCCAGGTTGTCAATATGCCAGAGATGATGTCGCCCCGCTGACAGGTCCCCTCAGAAATGTGTCATCGTCGGCAAGTGAGCAATGCCCGGCCGTATTTTCCATTTTCATTTTCATTTTCATGTCGTTTGTGCCTGCTGCTGCTACTGCTGCGGTTTATTAGTCGTAAATTTTGGACTTGATACATTTGTGCTTGCTTTTCGGCTTTTGTGTTTCTTTTTTTTTTTCTTCTGTGCGAAACTCATAAATTTCATTGTCTGCTGTGAGGATTTTAATATGCACAGTATTTGTGTCTGCAGTTTAGAAGAAAAACATATAAGAAAATGCCGAAATGAAAAGCCACCCACGCATAGGACATTTAAATATATGTAAATATCTGAGGAATGGGATTTGTCTGAGGTGGACTGACCCACTGAGTGAGTCTCTGTGTCTCGAGTCTGTCTCCATCTCAAATCCCTGTCTGATAACTGATTGCCTTATCTACCCGCCCCAACTGACGCAGTTTGCCACGGACTTAATGATATCTAAAGTCTTGGCTTATCACTATATAGCGTATATCTGGGGTATATACAATGGGTATATGTGCCTGCATAATAAGTTTGATTTGGTGACGCTTCTGGGAGATTGTTTTCGTTTGCACTTAGAAGAGAATTCTGAAAATTAATTTTCTAGACTTATCTGTGCTGTTTTTTTTCTTAAAGATATAATTATAAATGTGTAGCGTCAGGTTTTAGTTAGTTATGCATATTCATTGAATGACAAAATCAAATAAAATTAGCTCTAACTTGCTGAAGAATAAAAAGAAAGGCCAACAAAAGAAGACACATATTTTTGTAATAATTTCAATATAAATAACTTCTAATCTCATCTCTTTAATATACCATCTTATACGTTATATTATATATACCCCATTTGGAGTGAATTTGATTTGATGACGCTTTTTGGCTGATGACACCTGCGGTCTTGAGTCTGAACTAATTAGAAAAACTTTTCTAGTACAACGCTGCCGCCTGGTAACTTTTAACTTTTGTTGATTGCAAAACTTTGCTTTTTATAGTGGCCAGGTGGGTGGGGGAGGGAACTAAGAGTATAGAACTGGACTGAGACTGCCTGCAAATGATTGACTGACTGATGGGGCAGTGGCATTATCTATCCGGCTGCTGTTTGCCACTCTATTTCACTTTCAAGCTGGCCCCCACTCACGCACGCACTTTGTGGCAAAAACTTTGACTTTAATCGATTTAACAATTTTCCCCCTTAAC